CCCTGCTCATATGATGGTACTCTACTGTAAGTTTGTTGTGGCCATGGTTTTCTTACTATAAAAAAAAAGGCTTAATTCATGATAGTTTTTACCATATGTGAACAAAAATAAGTTGAGACTTAAAAAGCCAAACTAACAAACAAACCCCTTTACATTAATGTGTCAGGTGCTTATGGGTATCTGCTGTCCTGCACTGATAACATAAATTAACATTCCTGCTTATCTCTCCACATATCTAATTTCCTTTAAAAAAAAAGTACATAAAAGAATTTTGACAGGTATTTTGTGCAGTGGAAAGTTTTAAAGGACAGTTATGATGTGAGTTTGTGAGATCTAAAATTAGATGAAGATTGAAATTCCAATTAATAGCAATTGCCTAATGACCAGGAATTCTAAACCAGGCCAATTTTATTTGACTTTTCCAGACAACTGCTCTTTGGCTTTACCAATTCTCAGATAAAATCAATTCTGTTGGCCAAAGTCAAAGGCGGTGGCTAAAATTAGAGCTTAGTTTGCAGCACCAACTATGAACAGGCTGCTGTCTGTCTGTAATTACTCTAAGAGGATTGTGCCAGCTTTAGTAACAGTTAATTTTGTTGACATGTACGTGATTTTTGTAATTTTTTTTTAATTTTAGTAGTGCATTGGAGTTCTGTTTGTTGAAGTTTTTTGTAAGGTTTCATTTGGCTTGTGGGATGGAGGTGGGGAAATGTTTGGTGTTAAAATGTGTGATGGCCCTGCAGGGCAGACTGTGCCTGTGGTGTGGCACAGGGAGAGCAGCTCACTCTGCCCTTTGCAGGGTTGGTTGGTGTCGTACTCTTCTCTCAAAGCTTTGCTGACCCCCCTTCTTCAGTAGTTCTTCAAGGTAAAATCTCATGGGCAGAGATGCTCTAATGAAGGCAACACTCAGGCATCACAGTTGATACCTTATTTCCTTTCCCTGTATTTTGTATTCCATTTGTATATATTCCTTTGCACTCCATTCCAAGCACGCTGTTCGAAAGGGAAATAATGAGTTGTTGGCTTATTGGGTAACCTCTCCATGTTGCATCAGTTGCAACACCTCTCCATGTTGCATCTCCATGTTGCCCCTGAAGTTTGCAAAGGTCATGCTTGTCACTGAGCTGACTGGGGCAGGAATTTTAGCTGTCACAGGAAGGCAGGTAGTAAATGACATTTTACTATATATGCAAACACATCCATATAAAACTGAAGATTCTTTTCCCCCATAAATGTGTTGAATAGAATAATGTCTATAGTATCTTTGCCCTTTATCCCTTTAATTCAGCTTCATTTGTATTGTTTGGGGGTGGGGTTGGGTTTTTTTAAGAAAAGGAAAAAAAGAGAGATTGACCATCTGAAATTAAGGATTTAAACATCCTTTCACTTTTACTATCTGTAACACTTACTTAAAATAGATTACATTGGGGAATAATTTTGTGGAGTTTACAGTCAGTCAATTGGGCATAATAAATGAAATAAAAGAAGATGTAAAAGGAGATCTAAGCAAGAGTTGCATAGCCTGCAGGGGAAAATGAGTTTCCCTTTTCAAAAAACAGTTATTAGGGGATCAGGTATGGTCATTACAACTCGCTACATAAAGTGACTTATCGGGGGGACAAACAGCAAAAGGAAAGCATTCATTTGAAAAGGGAAGGTATGGAAGATATGTAAAGAGTGACAAAAAAGAAGTGAACAGGCTAGAAGGAGTCTCCTGAATTGCAGGAGACCTGCAGACTCCGAGGTGTTTGGCTGAAGAACATCTGCCTTTGTCGTACCTGAGCTAGTGGCTTAGTTCCACTGGTTTTAAGGGTGAGTATGAATAGAATTATGGGAGAAAAAAAATCATCAATGTAAGACCTGTAGAACTGGGGGAAGAGGAGAGAAATATTTTTTGAGATATCTGTGGTTTGATGGGATGTGGAGGGATTTTTGCACTGATGGTCACAAGGGGCACCACTTTCTCCTCTTAGAGGTGCCTTTGGAGGGAAAACGAAACTGAGTGTTCAAAGAGTGCTATTTTTCTGAAACATGAGTACCAGAAGTATGATTTTGGTTGAGGGTATTAAGTAATTTTTAACATAAGAAGCTAGAAAGAAAAAAATGGGCAGTGGTGTGGCAGAGCCTAAACGGAACTTTAAACTAACATATTCCATTACTGGTGTTGGAGCAGGATGGAATGCACCATTCCTCCCCAAACATTTTCCTTGTTGTGTCTTCAGGCCTCCTTCAGAAGGCTCTCGGATAAATAGCTGCGGTAAGTTGGCATAAATGAAACCGTAGGATGTTTTTTTGGCCAAAAATTAAGAGCTTGGATGCCTTCTACCATGCAAACTATTGGAGGAGCAGTAGAGGTAAATTTAAAAAGAAAAAAAGTGGATATCCCATCCCTGGAAGTGTTCAAGGCCAGGTTGGATGAGGCTTTGAGCAACCTGGTCTAGTGAAAGGTGTCCCTGCCCATGGCAGAGGAGTTGGAACTGTATGATCTCTAGATCATGTAGACCTTCCAATCCAAACCATTTTATGATTCAGTGAACTTACAGAAAGGGGGAGACAATAAAATTGTCAAAGAAGAAGTGGTCACTGGAAGAACAGTGTTGGTTTGGGATGTTTGTGGTTGGTTGGCTTGGGTGGGTTTTTTTTGGTTAATTTGTCCTTTTTTTTGGCCAACTGTTAGTCTGAGAGGGCAGTGTACAAGTTTTATTTCTATTAGCAGGTTAGTGGATGTTACAATTGAAACGAGCATTCGTGTGGGGATTGGTGTTTGTGAGGTGGATTCATTGATACAGTTGGGAAGGGGAAGAAGCTTTCTGCCTTGTCCTTTTCAGCTGTCCCTGCAGTGTTGATAGGGCAGCACCAATGCACTTCTTAGGGCTGCTTCGGGCATGTCCTTTTGACCTTTGTTTGCTGATTGCTGGCTCTGTTGTTTGGTAAAGTCACCCATCACTGCCCTCGTGCCCGAATTCAACCGTCCCTTCCTGTGGTCTTGCGCTCTTGATGCTGCACCTGTGCTCCACCAGCTCAACACTCTCATTTGAAAAGGATCCCAAAGAGGACAATGCTGTCCTCCCACTCTGCTGCTGCCTCAGCTCAGCCACTGCCCAAACCAGCACTCATTTTGTGAAGGGTTTGGTTTGTTACACCATTTGTGTTCAGGCTCTTCCAGTGAAGCAAACAGATTATCTCCCAGTGCACTCCAAAAGCATGTATGCAGGAGTGAAGTTTACTGAAGGTCTGTGAACCATGAAGATGTGCCTCAGAGGTCTCAATGGGACACGTGAATGAGTAGAAAACCAAGTTGGAAACAAGGTATTAGGAAAACCTATTCAGTGCACGCAGTTGTTTCCCTGCAGTAGGGAGCACCTTCTCCTTCTCTTCTTGCAATCTTTTTCAAGTGTAGATCACTCATGTTAAATATATAGCTGGGAACATCTTGTGTTAAGTAGAGATATGAACCTGAACAGAAGAAGAGGTCAAGCGTGGAAATAAATTCCAGTCAGTACTGGATGATTGAGAAGTCCCTTTTCTCTTGCTCCCTCTTGTTTGGAGAGGTGGTGCTTGAATTCACTTCAGAAATGAGGAGGAGAAAAGTACAGCTAGGGTTTCCTTTAAAGGGAAAAAAAACTCAAACAAACAACAACTTACTCTTTAAATTCACATTAACATCTGGGAGTGGGTGGCTCAACCCTGTAATCATCTGCATCATCACATTACATTTTCCTGATCAGAATACGGAATATTAAGTGTTGTGAATGTGCACATCACACTTGAATTTTTATATAAGTGTTCTTGCTGTTTAGGACACTAGCATTTGACGGGTAAACAAACTATTTGAAATGGTTTAATAAAGCCTTATATTTGGTACACCTAGTTCTGTGGACCGCCTTTGGAAAAGAAGATTGATTTCTCCCTGAACCAAAGCCTCTTCCCAGTTCTTCAGTGCCTCAATGTACTTTGTGGTGACAGCAATGAGCACATTCTGGTTATCACTGAGTGGTTCAAAGATGCAACGCAGGTGTGACGTGCCCCTTTCACAGACCACAGCTCCACAGCAAGCTGTATTTAGCCATATTGTGTATGTGTTTGAAGGGATTAGTAATAGATTTTTGTTTTTCCTTTTTTTTTTCTTGGAAGTCATTGGAAAGCAAAAGACTAAATCTATTTTGATTTCACTCGGGACAGATTAATGGGTGTCAAATGTTATACAATACTTGACATATCCACTGCTGTTAAGTTGGCCGTGGCAAAGGGATTACCCGATAATGAATCACCAAGCTCTTTAGCCATTTAAAGGGAATCGTGCCGCTTCCTTGCCCTGGTGGCACTCCCTTCCCTGCCCGGGACCTTCTTGTGACACTGCGTGTTCGGGTGTGGAAAACCCCACGCAGATGTGCAAGCTTTGTGTTCGCCTTCTACCTTGCTAATTGTTTTTGTGGGATTATTCGGATTGTGTAGAAAGCTTTTTCCAAATCCCCTTTATTACTGAAGTTATTGTTGCCAGCAGGAATAAGATTAAAGGTGCTTAAGTCTGTAGAGTTGTTTCTAATTTGTACGTGTCATTTCAGTGGCATTTGAACAGAACTCTGTCTCTTCCCCTCCCTTCTCCCCTGTGGTACTGTGCTTGAGTTAGGGCTGAGAAGCCAAGCTATTGGAAGAAAATTCATTTTGTTCCCTAATTATTATGCTGGCACTCGGGAGATAATTTTTCCCTTCATGCACTGCCAATTAATATGCAAATGAGCTGATAAATATTTATACCGTGATTTAAATTATGCAGGGAGCGCTTTCAGTGTACTCTGCAAATGAATTGTTCATGGACTTCAAAGTGCTGGCTGCTGTGCTAACGAGAGGAGATTTGCATAAGGCCCTAATCAGGCGCATACTGATTAAGCTTCATTATGGAAACTGCCAGCTGCAATCTTTGTTTCTATTTTATTACAAAAAGGGGAACTTTTCACGCTTCAGTCGCCTTGACAATGTCAGACACAGCTAGTAGGAGAGACTAAAACTCCACACAGCAACTGAAGTTTCCCTGTTCAGTTGAAGATTGCTATGGTGTAACTGAAGTTGTATTTCTCCCCCCACCTCCCCACTCCCTTTCGTGTTCGGTCAGAGCGGTAGTGTAGATTTGATAGAAATTGCCATTTTCCCGTTCCTTGGACTATCTGAACCTGTAGAGGAGACCACAGCAATGCTGGACTGCAGCGACTACGTTCTAGGTGGGTACCAGCTCAGCTCTTTCTTACGGACACAGAGGCTGCGAGATTGACTATGCATAGAGGCTTAATCACATATGCAGAGTCTAGAGAGGGTATTTGGGAGGCTGGAGCTCACCAGTGAATCGGCAGCAAGTAGCTACCTGGTAGATAGATAGCTAGATCTGTACCAGGGAAATACATGGCTTGTTTTTTGTTGTTGTTTTTTTGTTTTTCCCCTCCCTCCTTTCCCTTGCTCCAGGAAAATTCATTTTCTCTGCACAGACTTGGATGATATTAATACAGACTTTTTGCTTTTAGGATTTCAATCTAAGAAGCATTTGGCTTATAACAAACACTGGACTTGACTTGCATATCCTGTGTTATGAATTTTCAAGCATTAAAATGAATGAGAGGGGAGCCTCAGTCTCAAAGAATTTAGTAACTGTATTGAGCCATTCCACAACAGAATGCACGTTATGTCTGTGTATTTTTAATATAGCGAGGTTCTTCGTGCGTAATAGAAAACAAGGTGGAGTGCACAGTGGTTGCCATTGATACCGTTGCAAGCTGTGCTTAAGGTTACTGGGATAATATATTTCCTGCGCCGAGATTCCACCAGGACTGCAGAACAGACATGCCATAATTTCTTCTTCATGTCTTTTAAAGCTATTTATAGCAATGGATCATCCCAATTTTACAATAGGTTTTATTTATTTTCAAGGCTTTTTCCACAAAACTCAATGTGTGTGTGTGTATGTATGTATTTATTTATTTATTATTCTTTTCATTCCATCCTACAAGTTCACGTAAGAACTTATATGTCAAAGAGAGAGAATATATTTTTGGATGGCAAATTTTGCAGCATCTGAATATGTTTGCTTCTGAATATGATGTGAGTTTTTTTAAAAATTAATTTCTAAAGCATTCTTGGCATGTTTTCACTCACATTGTACTTTGGTTTTTCCATGCATATCAATGAATCATTTACTGCTGGTGCTGATGGAGCATCAGGCAGTTTCACTTTGATGGGTGAAAGGAAACGGTTAATGGCGATATAACCATGTTAAAATTTTCAGTGTTTTACCAGCTGTGTACAGTCCCTGATACTCCAGGTTAGTCCAGTGTCTGCTGGTGCTTTCTTCTACATGCCTTTGGAAACGCTCCTGAAGGTGTGTGAGAGCCTGGCACAGCACTGCCTGGCCACACCTCAGCCCTGCTAGCAGAGTAGCAGTCCAGAATGTATTCGCTCCCGAGAGTTTGATTTCAATCATGCACCTGCTGCTCTCGATCCTTCCTTCTGTGGAGTTTGTTTTTTAGATAATGTTGGCAGAAGTTGTTGCCTAGGGCCTTTATTTAAAACCCGAGCAAGATCTGAAGGAAGAAGAAAAGGTGAAGGCATTAAGGTTTGGGGTTTTTTTTTAGCCCACTTCATTTGTTTATTCTTTTAACTTTAAAGCAGAAATTGTATGAGCATGTATAAACCAAATAGCCTTTTTATTTGACATATAATGAGTCTGTAGGTTCAGTATCCTGCGGATATGAGTCTGTTTTGCTGGTAGCAGTTTTGTGCTTCAGATGTATGTCCTACCATTTGCAATGGAAATAGCGCCATTGTTCTTGATACTTTACATGCAGAAGGCCCACAGACTGAACAAGAAATAGTCAGCTGGTGAAATAATGGATGCTATCCTTCCTTTGAACCTGAGCACTACGAGAAAGATGTTTCTTCTTCCAACTTGCTGCTTTTTCGCAATAGCAACATTTGAGCTCTTTGTTAAGGATGGATCTTTACAATAAAATATTCCTCATTTAGACAAGCTTTTGGTAGTTAAGTAACCTTTAAGTATATGCCTAGTACTAGAAAACACTGAAAACCTTTTCTAAAAGGATTTATTTTGCAGCACAGTCTGACAGAAAATTATGTCTTGCCTTGCTTTATGGAAGGAGGTCTCTACAGTTATAACTTTGTGTAACTGAGCAAACTTGCTCATCATGCAGGAAGGCTCCTTATAGGAGCCTCCTTGTATAGACAGAACAGTCACTGCCTTGCTTGGAGTTCTGTGCACAGGACACCTGTGTCCCCTCCTCTGGGTTTCTACCATTAGTATCCTGCACTGCAGCTCTAAGTTTATCCAACAAACCAGCAACAGGAGGCCCTGAGTTGTTCTTCTTGCATGAGTTTTCTGAAGTGACTCAAGGAATGAATCCCATGTTGTTGAGAGACAATCTTCTCAGCCTGTGCTCTTCCCTTTTGTGGTCAGTTGTATGTTGAGTTCAGGCCACCCCTCTGCTCTGGGCTTAAAAATGTACATTCTACATCCAGTAGCACCATGAGTTAGCCCAGTTTCCACAACCAAATGTATTTGACTTGTAAGTTCTCTTTGCTCATTTTCCGGTCAGGTGGGGATTCTTGATGTTTGCATCAAAAGCAGAGACTCCCATTCGGTGTCCTCTAAACACAAACTACTTTCAGTAGCCCTCTGTGTGTAAAAGAATGAATTAATGCTGTTTATCAAATGCATGTTGCCTGTAATCACTAAATAAAAATGCTGTTTCCACAAGAGTAAACTCAATTTAAGGGATATGCAGTGTCTAGATAGAAATGTACATTGTATTTATTTTACACACAGGTCTATCTGCAGAGAGGGCTGTGTCAACAGCAAACATTTCTTAGCACAGTTCTGTCTTTCAAGACTGAAGTCACAGCTTGAATATGCTAAGCAGTAGTTGTGAAAAACAGGGCAAAACTTACAGTTTCTTGCTGAAGTGTAGACCAGCCGTGCTTAACTGCAAAGTTTCTCCTCGCTCTCTCTCTCAAAAAGCAGTTTAACAGATCTGCCTTTATATTAAGAGTAACACTGATAGTTCAGATCTCTTTTACAGGTGGTTGAACATTTGAAAGATGTAAGAATAGGCATAGGAACTTTCTGAGAAGAGTTGAGGCTCTGGAGGGCATATGTTAACTTGTCAGGGGAAGTTTCCTGCTTGTTACACTCCTCTGGGTTTTCAAGGCTCTATTGGGTTCAACTGCCACGGTTGTTTATGTGGAAAATTATATTAGTTTTAAAAATATTGATCACAGAATTACAGAATGGTTTGGGTTGGAAGAAAATCATCTGGTTCCAGCTGAAGGCAGGGATACATTCCACTAGACCAGGTTGCTCAAAGCCCCATCCAACCTGGCCTGGAATTCTTCCAGGACTGTGGCATCCATGCTGTCTCTGAACAACCCATTCCTGTGCCTGACCACCTTGTTATCCTAATAGCCAGTCCAAACCTGCCCTATTTCAGTTTAAAGCCATTCTCCCTTGTCCTGTCACTACATGCTCTTGTAAAAAGTCCCTCACCAGCTCTCTTGTAGGCTCCCTTTAGTTACTGGGGGGCTGCTATAAGGTCTTCCTGAGCCTTCTCCAGGCAGAACAACACCAACTGTCTGTCCCCACAGCAGAGATGCTCCATCCCTTTAAGCAGCTTGGTGGCCTCCCCTGGGCTCGCTCCAGCACGGGCATGTCCTTCCTGTGCACTGGTGTCTCTGGGTAGTAGCAGGTGACGGTACATGGCAATCGTGCACCTTCTCATTTCCAACTCTCACAGATGGCCAAACAGTGAAGTGTCTGGGCGTTCTTGGAACTATCTGGGGTGAGGGGAAACATGCAGCAGTTAATGCTGTTGCTGTATTCTTCTTCAGTCCATTGGTATTTTGGAAATCACTCCTTTGATGAAAGTACATGGCAGAGGTAACCTTTTAAGCACCTTGCCAGAGAATATCCTGGAATAAAGAGTTTATTTTAAGCTCATTGAACTTGATTTTGGCAAGTTATGGGAATGGAAGAATGGGCTTAAGGATTTGCTTACACTTCATTTTATGAACTGCTCTGTCTTGAGGTTCTGTTGGTATTTTTGGTTTGTGATAATGTGGCTCACTGGGGTTGGTAGCAAGGAAGGAGGAGGTAATAAGCTGGAAAGCTGAGGCTGTACACAGAACATCTGTATAGATTCTTATAAAAAGGAAACTATATTCTCTATCTGCTGTCTGGAGAGGCCCTCTGCATTACACTACATTCAGCTGACAGGCTTTGAAACCAAGAACAGACTTTGCAATTAATTCATCCAGAAGGATATAGAAAATTACTTGCTTTATATTTATATGGCTTTGCACTAATATGTAGGAAATATAAAATAACTTAGTGTTAGTGACATTCCAGTACAACAGAAATGCAGTATTAGGAAAATGGCATCCATTTAATTGTAATGACTGAATTTCCTTTCTCTTATCAAGGTGGGGTGGGGGGGACAAACACAAGAATAATGTAGGCCATGGTGGTCAGACTTCAGGGGTTTGAATCTTGCTGTAGTCATTATTCCTTCATCCCCCTCTCCTTTTTTTTTTCTATGACTTTCATTGTATTGAAAATTAAGTTCCTACCTATCATTGCCCTCCAGCATGCTGTCTTTTATTCTCTAAATACCACCTTTTCACATATGGGAATAATGACAGAAAAATTTGAAACAATATTTATCTGGCAGATTCAGTGTTGTGTTCTGCTTCTGGTTGCTCTTTTTATGTTATAATCTGAATTAGGGTAAAGTACATAGGAAATTTCTGATGTTCTGTACTTCCCCTAGGCAAAAAGGTATGAATAGATTTGGGGATTTTTTGCTATATTGGTTTATCTTTATTTCTGTTTTAATGCAGACTCAAGAATGAACAATCCGTCAGAAAACAGTAAACCATCAATGGAGAGTGGGGACGGGAACACAGGTAAGAAATGATGAATTGGTGCACAGATATTTTTCTGGTGGAATTGAATGAATATTAAAAGCCATATTTCTTTACCAGCTTACTGGGATAAAAAAATATCAAACAAAAAAAACCCCAAACCCCACACCCACTGTTTTTAGAGACTTAGGAACAATTTTGTCATTAACCATATTCTATTGGAGCACTACCCACACAGTCTTAGATTCCCCTTCCCCCTTTTTCTGTCTGTAATGTTTATGACACTACAGAAGACCTGGTGGCATTAGCTCTCCGTAAGTAGTCTTGTTTTTTCCTGGCAGAACATACCTTCGGCACTTCTAACTTCATCATTTATTTTTGGGTTGAAATTTTCCCTGGCAGATGTGGGCCACTGCCCGATCTTGTTTCCATTTTAGATTTCATTCAAGCTGTCACAACAGTTCTCAAGAACAAGTCAAAGGGAGAAAGGCTAATTTCTCAACATTAAAAAAAATGTTACCCAGCTTTTCTGTAATTTCCTTGTGTGTTAGATCAGAACCTTGAAAATTTAGTAAAATTTTGTGCCAGGGCCAATGTGCCTTTTGGTGCATCCTTAAGATGACCGAATTCTAAGCCACTGGAGAAGGTTGTTACGCCTCTATAGCTTAAGCATTCTATCTGATGCGTTAATTCTTTTCTGGACGTGATTTAATGTTCACTTCAGAAGCAAGAGAAATGACAATTCTGAATGGAAAGTAAATAGTTTAACCTGACTCAGAATCTTTTCTGAGCTCAGAACAGCATTTGGGAAGAGAAAATTTTAATGAGAAGGAACTTGTTGCTTTGAGAGAAGTCTCATTACCTTGTATGAGGGAATATTATTTTTCCTCCTTGTGGTTCAGTAATAGGAGTTTAAAATAAAACTCTGGAGTTGTGATGAAATTAACACTATATTTCATTCTGTACTACTGTCTCCCCAATCTTTGTGCAAGGCTTTAGTACAGCTGAGAGTGACTAAATGTTCCCAGTACTGATCTGAGAGGCTGCATGTTTTCTGCCAGTGCATGGGGTCAGTCCAGATGTGTGTTTTGTCGCTGACTTCTCAGGTTTTTTAATTGTCATTGTATTTTTAGTAGGAGAGGTATCAATTCTTTCTGTGCACAGAAGTGTTTTGTTATATGTTTAATACTGTTTTAGGATGATATAAAACAGTATTTCCAAAAACATATGGACTGTAAATATTTCATGATCATAAACAGCATCAAGAGAACAATGTTTTTTAAATATCCCTGTAGACTTCTTGTGGCTGGAGGTTGTATGTAAACTCCTGAGAAAATTCAGATTTCCTCCTCTTTATGATCCCAGTTCCCAGCATATGCTTTTTCCAGAGTGCATTCCCAACACCCTTCCCTCAGTGCAGCTTTAACCAGCAGTTTGACCTAAACTGAGCTGTTAGGAGGAGGATTTGTTTTATTCAAAGGTAGCCCTTAAAAATAAATCCATTATCACAGAAGCATTGCACCTGCTTCTGCAGAGCCCTGACTCGGCTCTCCAAGGCAAATATTTCATCATTGTGAAGGTGGGGGTCGTGACATAGAATGGATGGATTGTAAAGCTGCATGTAGGTCCTTTCATGTTAAAAGGGGATACAATGTCTATATTTTTTATACTCTAATAGTAAGGTTAGTTATTACAAAAGTTTGAGTCATATTGATGTTTGGAACTTCGGAACAATTGCTTCTGTAGTTTAAATGTTACCATTTAAACTACATTTTCAGTTTTGTACCCTGATTTTTTTCTAAAATAATCTAGAATTTTTGAGCACCCTTTGTTCTACAGTCATTGTTTTGTTTTTAAATATAGAGCTCGTAAACCGCTGGAGATAGTGATTGATGGCATTTGTGATGTTTTTTGGGAGCTCAAGCATCAGTTGTATTAGTCAACTTGGCAAATGTTAAACCCTGAAAGGAATACTCACAGAATGTCATTTTAGTCTTCTGATCATGGTGCTTAGGTTATGGTTCTGGACTCAGTGCTTACTTAGTGGGAAAAAAGTCAGCTTTCAGCTTGGATGCTGAGGAATTGGGAGCACCATCGATTTTTCTTCAGTGCCTGTGTTCCTCAGATGTGCTCCCCAGACAATGTGTGAAGATGATTTTTATAAACAGTCAGAGTTCTTATTTTTGTAACTTCCTGCAACTGCCTGTTTTCCAATGACATTTGTAAATCACTCGAGTCTGTTGTGCAAACACTACTAGTCTATCTTTTAAACTTCAGTGGATGTTTGTTTGGGTCATTACTGTTTTAAACTGCAGTAAGATGATACAACTTGAAAATTTTAAGAGAGATTACTGTAGGGCATGAATTTACATTTGGCAGAGCTAGTGTTCCCAGGAAAAAACAACAGTTGCCACTGGTAAAGATGACAACATCAGTATTTCTCTGAGCTAACAACTAAGTTTCACATAGTTAACAAAGTCGGGTTTTGTATTTTGAGCTTTGACTATTTAGGGAACATAGTAAAGTCCCCTAAATATATCAGACACAATACAGTGGCTGAAATAGATTATAACTTTAAAATCTTTGTGCTAGCTGGGCTTCCCTTTTAAGCATCTCAAAAAGCAACCCATATTTCAGACCACTTAAAAACAACAACAAAAAAAATGAGTACAGGAGTTGTTGAATGGCTGTTTCCTTAAGAAAGTGAATTGATCCACTGGTCGTCAATATTGTAGAGTTACAGAAATCTTTTCCAGTCTTTCAGTTGTGGGTGGACAGTCTGTGGTAGTAGCTACTGGAAAAAAGATAAGTAAGAAAAATGTCTTACAGTAAATGGATAGTCTTTTGATGTACTTTTTATAGGCTGCAGCATAAAATTTTCCAAAACATCTCAACCTCTGTTTGTTTGTTTAATGCACCTTCTCTTTTAAAAGCTATGTGAATGCAGCACTATGAAAGCCAAGGTTATAATGACTATAGAAACTGTAGTATTTGGACATGTGTTGACATAGCAGCAAAATAATAGTTTTTGTAAGTATTTGGAAGGATTTTTAAAGGTTCTTGTTTGCATTTTTCATTTCCAGAGACTGATTTTTTCCAGTTTCCATAAGAAGGAGGTCTATAGGAAAGGTACCATAAAATATTCTTCAACTGCTAAAATTCTGGGCAAATATTAATATTAATATTAAACTTCTTATTAGTAAATGTGGACAAGGAATCAACAATTCCTCAACACACTCAAGAGAGCTGGAGAGCCAGCAGGGAAAATGTACCGGTAGTGCTGGGAGATGTCCCCCAGAGCACAGTGCACATCCCCCACTAGTCAGCTTTCAAATCTTCTTTCTTCTTCATTCCTTTCCCTTTCTGAGTTCTTTCTTGCACCTTACTCTACATTTCCCCAGACCTGGAGTTGTTCACTCCTCTTCCTTTCTTATGCAATTTGCAAACTCAGACTGAAGTCTGATGATTCTGTTCTTGAATTCTTGAAGTTAAGTTGTTCTCCTGACTGCAGGTGTAATGTTACCTTGCCCGCTCCATTTTGTCATGCCTTTACCCTCTGCAGGTACAATTCCAAGATGGCATAAACTAATCCAGTTCAGGGTGTCCTGGTACTTAGTGTTCTGTTCCTTTTCTGGAGAGGCACTGTATTAGTCTCCATCCAAACCACCTCTGTGAAGTAGTTAAGCACATGACTGAATTTATGCCAGAGTTAAAACGTGCTTAAGTTGCACTGGACCTCGACTATAAGGGTGAAATTTCATCCTACAGTTTGACTCAGTCTCAACAGCTCGCTGAGGGTGGAGCACCCAAACCAAACCAAACTACTTATGAACTACCAGAAAGGGCAGGACAGGGACAGTGTAGTTGGAACCAAGAAGAAAGTAGGGATGGGACATAGAGAGGTCCACTCCTATTGAGTAGGAGATGGAAGATACATGAATACTTGGGATTGTTAAAACCCAAGTGCCTGTGATTGCATCTGCTGTGCCTATTAATCATCGTGGCTTTTGGTATTGAACTCTTTATCTTGAGCAAAAGTGGCATGCTAGACTCACTTCATTTTCCTTTCTGAGCTTCAGAAGCCATAGGCATCCTGTCATAAATGCAAGCGACCCAGGCAGCGTTCCTTCCAAAACTAAAGCTTCACCCACATGGGGAGGGAACACTGTACTTCCAAACACCAAAGAAAGTTTAAGATGCAAGTAGAAGAGAGAGTGAACAGGTGTAGTGTGGGTTTTTTTTGCTCTGAGTTTGGTTTTGGGAGGTCTTGGAAGAGGGAGTCGGAGTCTTTCAAGTTTGAATTTAAAGAATATGTTTTCTCTCAGTGCCCAGCTAAGTTCTTTATTGGGACCCATGGAGATTTTGAGCTCAGTCTTGGAGCTTGCCTTGTTCAAAACTGTCACGTAGGAGGCTTGTTTCAGGTTTCCATATTTAGAGTCAGCAGAAGTGTTAAGTGGAGCATTTTTTCTGCACACGTGCTCAGTAGTGTTCTTTTAATATGGTATCGTGATTTGAGGCTCCTTTTGGAAGACAGTTAACTAGAGCAGCTTCACCTGTTTACCTAAGGTGAGGCTTCCAGCCCGTCCTCTCAGAAACAGATAATGTTTGTACCCCCTGCAAGTTTCCAGTTGGAATAAGGAATATCTGCTTTACAGTAGGTTTTCTTGTCGGTATTTTTTTCGTACTTTGGAGTCCCCAGCCATACACTGAAAACTAATTCAAAACTTCTGCTTAAAAGGGGAGGTGGTGTATTGTTTCCTTTGAATTACAGTAGCTGTTTGTCAGGAGTTATTTTTATATATTTATCCAATCATCTTTCCATTCTCTTTGGCCTTCTGCGTGAAAAGAATTCTGCAGTTTACTGGAAAGAATGAAAATTCTTCTAGCTTTTTCCAGCAGACCTTTTTTATCTACCTTTCTTTGGAGAAAGTCAACCAAGTTGCATTCATTCAGGATCAATTCAGGCTAGTGATAGTCCTTCCGTTCACTTTGAATTGGAATTTTAAACTCATTAGGCAAAATAATTTTACGTAGTTAAAGATGGAATATTTTTAACACATATGTCTCCAAAATTTGTAAACCTTGGCCCAAAGCATAGAATTGAGAACTCTAGAGTAGACCAACTCTTCTCCCACGGCATCTCCACCAAAGATGCATCAAAAGGCCACCTTTTTATGTCCTACAGACTATCTCCGCTGTGTCTGTATTTAATTGGGCAGTGAGTCAATCTTTGGAAATGTTATCTGTGTAAGCTGTTTGTAGGTCAAAATAACAATGTAAAATACTGGGTAGTCTATTTTACTAATCACATTTTATGCCTGCTTGCTTTTGCAGATGTTTCTAAGGAATAGCAACCCCCTGTTGTTGTTTAACAACTGTGACTCTTTTGCTTAGTAGATAACCTAGATTTTTATGGCAAAGAATGTGGGTGATGGAAGGAATTTTGAAGTAGGAGTTAGCTGAACACCTGTCCATAGACACTGAACAAAATCTGATTGTCATGAAGAGTAAACATGCAAGTCTAAAGCTGGTTTTGCCATGCAATTTTAAAGATTGTATCATCTGTTCTAGAAATTCCACACAGCCTGATACACTTGGAGTCTCCCTGTTCATTATTAGCCACTGTGGGTAGTAACACCCTACACACAAACCTTCTTTTCAATAATTGCTAATGTTGATTTTATCATCTACCCTCAGAATAATTCTTAAAAGTTTCTATTTGTAGTACCTCCTGGCAGAAAAGAATTCTGTGGTACTGTCTTGTGGAAAAAATGCTGGGTATTTTTCTTTCCCTTCTCACAGCCAGATTATTTTGGGCTTGTTTGGGGGTTTTTATGTTTTTTTAACTTTTTAGGACGAAGTCTTCAAAAATGTAGGAAAATAATCAGATTTTAGTTATACAACAGGGAGTGAAAACAGAAGCAAGCCCAGGCAGTTATCTTACCTAATGAGAGCTTTGCACAAATTTTAATGGAAATGTGGAGGTATCTTTTATCAAAAGAGTAAAACTGTGACCCATAACTGCTATGTATATGTGGAACTTCTATTTTCATCAAGTATTATTTTACTTGTCTTTAATGAAAGGTGACTTGATATGAACCTTGCACATTCTGAACTTGAAGATAGTTTTTTACTGATTAGAGAGTGCATGGAGAAGAGAAACACAATTTAATCTTAGCAGAGTGCACTCATTTGGTTCTCAAACCATGTAGAGAATTATGGGGTGTAGATCTATCTACAGTGTAGATAGAAACACAGATCACAGAATTATTTAGGCTCAAAAAGAACTTTAAGATCATCAAGCTCAACTGTTAACCTAACGCTGCCAAGTCCACCACTAAACCATGTCCCTGAGTGCCACATCTACACATCTTTTAAACATCTCCAGGGTACACAGAGTAGGTAAGGTAATAGAGACTGAGGAAAATACAATGTTGATTTTGTTCAACTGACAAATGCTCCATTACTGAAGCTGGGTCACTGCTTCCTCAACCCCCTTTCAGCAAAAAATTCAATTCTTATTACTCTCACAGTATTTTTCTGCAGCATAGTATTGAGAGAACAGGAGGAAACTTAGGAGTATTAATTCTTATTTTGCTTCTTAAAAGTAATAATTAATAGTTTCTAATAACTCTCTTCCTCCAGGCACGCAAACAAATGGCCTGGACTTTCAAAAGCAGCCTGTGCCTGTCGGAGGAGCAATCTCTACAGCCCAGGCCCAGGCTTTCCTTGGGCACCTTCATCAGGTAAGAGAAGATCCATTTCAAAGTAGAGGAGGCTCAGACAGCTACAAATGCAGCTGCCCTTGGCTGAGCCATGTTCTCTCTTTCTGTGAATGACAGAGAGTCATGTAATGGAACATATGGATAGACCATGCGCTTAAATAGCATGGATGGGAAAAAGTTCTTATTGTAGCCCTCACTGCAGTGCATTGTGCTGCAGAATATGTCAAGATAGGGTGAGACCTATCTGGCAGAACTACAGATCGCCTTCTTGGGGACTTGAGAATCCCTAAATTTTGTGGTGTGTGTTTTTGACGTATGGTGTGGTTTTTTTTTGGTTTTGGTTTTGTTTTTTTCAGTTGTTGTTGATTAGTTTTTTTGGTTGGTTGTTTTTTTTTTTAACCTTAATAGAGATATCAAATTGAAAGGCAAGGTAAAATTAAATCTTTTTGGGAAAGGATTGTATTGGCCCAACAGCTGCCAAGGTTCTGAAACTGTCATGTCTAGTAAAAAATGAGAAGTGTTGTTGAATGGTAGTCAGCACTATGCTTTGCTCTTGCACATTAACTAGAAGGAAAGTTGATTGTACTTACTAAGCATATATGGTTTGTGAGGGTTTTTTTTTTCTCAAACTTATTTCTATGACCTGTTTGTCAGATGATATTCAGACTTCTAACAGTATCCCTCTGTTCTGCTGCTACTATGTTTAGGGAATCAAAGCTGAATTTCAGATGTAGACTGAAGCAAAGTGGGGCATCCGTGGGCAAAGAGAAGTATAAGGGGCATTTTTTATAGTTTTTTTTTTAACCTGTTCATACTTGATGTATGAAAACAAATGTCCTAATTTCTTTCCCTTCCTCAGCACCAAGTTTAAACTTTAAAATACCGTACCTAATTGGATGACCTTGAATGTTTGAGGTCTGAGGTTGCACAGTTATTGTGGTATAATTGAAGTACTGAAGCTTTTATGCCCTCTTTTAAGAGCTCTGAAACTGCCGTTTTATTGTATGGAACATTCCACACATCTTGTCACATAATTGCAATTTTCCTAGTAGATTGGTTTATATAGGACCTAGGGAGTGCCACTGTCTGAATCTGCTGAACCAATAGGCTGTTGTAGGGTGCCTTTCTGTGGAGTTTTCATGGGAAGGAAGGTGACCAGTTTTCATGGGTTATCAGTGTGTGTTTAACATGGAGACATAGAGCTGGTCTGCAGAATTTTGTGTGTTTGTTTTACTCTTCATTTTGTTATAATAGATCGACCCAGGACAGTAATTGTGTTTAGCACAGTGCTTTATCCTGCTTTGGAAATGTATGTATTTAAACAGTTGTCAGGTTCTTTATAACTTTGTATTTCATAAAGTGTGATTCATTTCTTGAAACTGGTTCAAAGGGAGATCTCAGGTATTCTTTTATTCACCTGCAGGTATGTGGGGATCTATTGTCGAACTGTCCTCAGCTGGTGTGGCTGCTCTTAGTGGGGTGTTGTTCAACCTTAACATAGAGTGCTTTCCTCTAGACTAATGCAAAATATTAGGCTGTAGACAGCATTCAGGAACAGTTTAATTTCTAATTTGAAAATGTTGACTGTATGGTGAAAGGGGTGTCCAAACTGCATTCAGAGAAAATTTCAGGACTGTGCTGACTGTACCAGAATGAGATACATTTGTAGTCTTTTATGTGTGTTTTCTGTCATTTTAAAATGTTATTTCTGAGTATATTTTCTTGGATGGCAGGGTGGTGGTGTTTAGGTTATTCTCTGCTGTTAATCCGTGTTAAAAGCTGAGATTACATCAGCTGTGTCAAACTATATTTTGCTTGTGATGAGGAGAGACTTTTCTGAGAGTGTTTGCTTAGGTGTAGAACATGCCTGGTAAGTCTGGTACCTTCATTTAGAGAGGCAGGAAATATTTCCAAGGTGACTTTTAAGGGTCGCCTGTTCAAATATTCAGTTATTAATTTCATGTACTGCAATTTTTCCCATGCTTAAAAATATGTGTACTCTTTATGTGGGGACATGGTTTTACAGAGGCAGGAGCGCTACATTTTGCTTTGCTTTGTTGTATCCTCACATGTTGCCTTGTTTTAAAATGAGCAGCGGTTTTCAAACGTGGCTAGAGAGGGAATTCTGTACAGGCTGCAACTCTGACCTTTGAAAGTGTTGGTAATTAATTACAATAGGATTCCTTCTTTATAACTAGGAGTACTGGTAGAAACAAGGTGAGACTGATTAAAATGGTCTTCAGTAAATGAAAATACAGCATTTGTCGTACAGAGAAAATCCTTTTTAGAGATAAAATAACACTCTTTAAAAATCTCACTTTCTGAGGCATCTGTTTTTCTTCACTGCTAACCCACAAGACCTTCTTTGGACCTGTTAATCACAAACACTGAATTCAAGTTTTGAGTATACCTAAATCAATACAGCCTTTGTAAAGTGTCTCTGGTCCTCTGTATTGAGATCTTCTTTTCGGTGGCTGAGGACTGGAAATACTTGGACAGGTTGATTTGAGTATGCTCTGGGTTCTGTGCTGTGCAGGTGATTGCTCTTCTGTCATGTAGGAAAGTGGGTGAATGCAGTGTTGGGGTAAGATCCATTCTGAAATATGGGTAGGATGGCAATGACTAGAGCTTAATGGCCTCCCCTGGAGCCTGGATTTTTTGAGCAGGAATAAGACTGGGTTAGCCTGTCTACCCCAATATGCTCTATTTCAAATTCATTCATGATAATATCTAGATCCCTAGGCAGGAAGACCTTCTGCAAGAGGTAGACAAATAACACTTGTGGAAGAGTCTTAGAGATCTTTCTCAGCCTGGAGCATAACCCCTGTTTCACTGATGCAGGTGTTAGAGGGGCATGCAGTGTTCTTGGGGGAATTTGTGTTGGGACGTGGGTGGGGAGATCGTTCTTCTTACATTGTTAGTTTTCTGTGGATTCTACATTATTTCATTTCCATTTTTGCACTGTTGTAGGTCCAGCTCGCTGGAACAAGTTTACAGGCTGCTGCTCAGTCCTTAAATGTACAGGTAAAGACAGTTACATTGTGCTGCTTGTCCTTCTCTCATCGCAAAGAGCATCCTGGTCCCATTAGAGATAGTTTTTAACCTATGATATGTTACTCTGTGTTTTCAGTCTGACTGGTTTTGCAAGTGATAGGTATGAAGGAATAACAGTTTTACAACTGTAAATCAGGTTCAGGATAGTAAGCATTCAGACACTGGAGTTGTTTAAGCCATGCAGCAATCATAATTAATGCTGAATTTCAGTCAGATGTCATGTCATGAAAACTATGAAACTCCAGGCATATTTCAGGTTCTTTCATTAATTCACTTATTTTAAACATATCAAATATTACTTTGCAATTTTTCTGGAGACTGAATATAGGAATATAACATAACATTTACTATCTAAGGTGGCAGGCTTAGATTGCTTGTATAAATAACACAAAGTGATATCAAAATAAGTCGGAATAATTGTTGTTTAATAATGTACGTGAGACAACAAAGCTTTCAAACTTTATGATGCTTCAGTGTATCAGGTCATGTTCTACTTCCTCTCAGTACTGTATTAAAGGGGCAAGGGATGCAGTTTTATTGAAGACTGGTTTCAGTATTGCTTGTTATTAAAGAATGTAGGTAGTGCATTACATGAAATGCAATAGAATGTGGACCCACTTATACATAATAACAATTTGGAAAGAAGAGGAGGTATAGTGACCTTCCTTTCTAAGAGGAAGGAGGCAGAAAATTGCCTTGGTTGCCATGGTAAACTTCCATCCCTGAGAGAGATGTTGGCAAACAGGCTGTATCTCCAGTGCAGAATGTTTACAGTCCTGCGCTGTAATTATCGCTCAATGACTGGCAGAATTAATCAGAGCCTTTATGTTAATTAGCCTGCTCTGCAGTCCCCAAAACAGGTGGTGAAAAATATGCAAATCTATGCAGAATTTTAATGTTCTGCATAACCAGTTTTAATTATCATAAAACTCTCTCCCCCTCTTCATGCACTCGCGTTTCCTCCCTCATGTCTTCACAATTTCTTGTGTTTAAAAAAACAAACAACCAAACCATGGAAATAAATCAAAATAAACTTGAATCTTTTTAAATAAAGCAGCATAAATAAATAAATAAATAAAATACTAAACTTTGATTATTTAAAAGCGCTTTATGTATTATGTATTTTGCTGCAGGTAGGTAAACCTGTGAGGATTTTTAAAAAACAGTTCCATATAAACCAACAGTATGATGACTTAGAGGTACAGGATACAGATAATGGAAACAAAAATCTCCTTTCCCTCATTCCATTGTTGAGGATTTTAGGCAATGAATAATTTTAACAACCCTCTTTCTTTATGGTGAGAAGTAGCGTCAGCTTCAGTTGCATTGCGTAAAATGAAATGAGACCTGAAAATAACGTCAAATAGTTACAAGGGACCTGAGAGTCTCTTTGTTTTGTTTAAACTGCATTACCTACAGACACGTTTGAGCAATCGTAGCTGAGATGGTGGGCTCACAGAGCCATTGCTTAAACACACTCTTAAAATAAACCCAAGGGCTTTTTGTATGCAGATGAAAGATTTTTATTGTGCAGTGTTGAGATAGCAGTGTGTTATACATTAACATCTGTTTTACACTATAAAGAGTTGTATTTTTTTTTTGACTAGTCTAAATCTAATGAAGAATCTGGGGACTCTCAGCAGCCAAGCCAGCCTTCCCAGCAGCCTTCAGTGCAGGCGGCCATACCCCAGACCCAGCTCATGCTGGCCGGAGGACAGATCACTGGGGTAAGGTTTACCCAGGTTTACTGCAGTCAGCCTCCTGATGGCAGTATCACAGAGCTTGTCAGCGAAGGGGGTTGTCATTAACATAGCAAGAAACTTCAGTGGAAGTGGGGACAGAAGGGATCTTCCTAGAAAAATAAGCAGACTTTAATATTTGGGGTTTGTTGCAAAAGTATTTGCTTCCAAACAACTACAACAAAAAAAAAATTGTTTCTCTCTGTTCTCGGTGTCCGTCTTGACTCTGCAATGAAAGGAAAACCTGACGTGTGTACAGATAGGACAGTCACTGATGTGATAAAGAGGAATTTTTACTTTTGTCAAGATTAAAATGGGAGAACAAGACTAGATCTTATCAGATAGGTGGATGTAGAACAAAATTACGTGACCTGCTAATTCTTCCTCTTCTCAAATACATTTTGTTTTAAGTAACTTTATTAGTACTCCTTAAGCCTATTCAACCCTTCTGTTTTAACCTAACAATTCTGAGGGTTTTTTATTTGCAAGGCCTTGGGAGTAAATGTGAGGTAGTTTAGACTGTTTGGTGTTTCTGAATTGTTATTCAGTCGTTTCTAAAAAGGAAGTTTTGTGAAAGGGCTCATTAAAGAATTAGCGTTTACGTAATCAGCTTTGCAGTTTTAAGTGTTTGTGTGTTTAGGACAGTTGCTCCAAAAATGTATTTATGATTTGAAGTATTAGATTATATCATCTCTGCACTTGAATGAAATGATATCTTAATTTCAGGCTCAATTGTTACACCTTCTTCTGTATTAGCATACAAATAAACATCCTGTTTAGTTTTCAGTTAATTGCATTTGAAAGCTTTAAAAGTGAGACTGTTTTAATATGTTGTTAAAACCTGACATATTTTATTATTTTTTGCATTTCCAAAAAATATTTTTTTAATTCATGATTGTCTGCTGTAGTGAAACATTCAAAACTCCAGGGCCCTGCAGATACGGATTGTAGTAAATATGGGCATCAAGATTCATTTACATGTAAAGGAGAGACTGCTACCACCTGTTCCTCAGAGATAATGTGTGTTTGGGAAAGGGAAGGGATGTAAAGTTGCCAACTCTATTCTGTTTAAAAAAAAAAAAAAAAAGCAGATGGGGAGACTTGGAGAGAAACAAATGGAGCTCATGTTCTTTACTTATATCTTAGGGCATAATGGAAATGATGGAATATGGCAGGGATTCATGCTAATGTGAAGCAGCTGGGATGTTATCAGTTTGTTCAGTAGCCATAGCCAGCATTCCTGCTTCGCATTCATCTGGCTAATCACTTGCTGTTCTGCTGGGTGTAAATTTCTTTTCAAATCCCGGCAATACTGATTCTTTTCTTTTGCTTGCTACTTAATTACCTTTTTCCAGATACTCCTGGTAGAGTTGTGAAGAAAAGTTAGGAGTGAAGTTAGGTTCTGTAGGTTCCAGTAAGTGCAAATGTTTGCTTTCGTGCAGTTTGGTTTATGTCAGGACTCTGGTAGGTTGGTTCCTACACTGTGTTGAGTAGCCTGCTGGCTTACTTAAGGCCAGAGTCATCGGCCAGTCAATGGCTGAACCGTAGCGATAGTTCTGGGGTTGTCTGGTGAATATAACTAGTAACGAGCTAGCTAATGACTTTGTAGCTGAAGTGGCTCTTTCCATTATTAATGGCTGTGTTTTCTAATTGTTTATAGCTCACGTTGACGCCAGCCCAGCAACAGTTATTGCTCCAACAGGCGCAGGCACAGTTGCTGGCGGCTGCAGTGCAGCACTCAGCCAGTCAGCAGCACAGCGCTGCTGGTGCCACCATCTCGGCCTCTGCTGCAACGCCGATGACGCAGATCCCTCTATCTCAGCCAATACAGATTGCACAGGTGAGCCTTGAGGCTTGAGAGGGTGGAAAATAAAGACCTTTGACTTCATTTGCACCATTTTTTTATTCCCTTATTCGGTGGGTTTCTAGAGTCCTCGAGTGTTGTTAGTCGTTCCTCATGTGTTCGCAGCTGGTGAGATTGAAGTTGGTAGTCTTAGCTGCTCATCAGTTCCACTGGGCTTCTGAGTTTGTTCCAGAATCTGAGCAGATGCTGTATTTTCTGAATTTTCCTCCTTGTTGTTAGCTTTGGAAAGAAGGAAAAGCGGGTATAGAGAGATGCCCATAGAAATTGCCCATGTTGAGACCTCTGTGGATGGGAAGTGATGCTTGAGTATCACAAAGGATGGTCCTCACACCCAAATGGTGCTTGTTAGAAGCAAAATGACAGAGCTGAAGAAAGGCAGTTCGACTTGACAGATTTGTGTGCTGTTCTGGTTTGGTGCTTAATGCTCAGAGTTCAGTGGCAGAGGATGGGCACTCTTGTGTGTCTAGGGAAGAACTTGACGGAATGTGTCTGGAGTTGAAATCTGACCAGTTTTATGGTCTGGTACTACTTACCACTTAATTCTGAAGAACTTCTTGTCAAGGCAGTTCTGCTTACTAGAAGCAGCAAAGATTTTCCTGGATCTTCCAGGTTTGTGATAATTCAATGTGGAGAATGCAGTGCCACTAACTCTGTGCTTAGTATATGTAGTGTGGATGCTCCTTAGACTTGTGGACAAGGGTAAACAAATGTACAGCTGAGGCGTCTTGAGTACTACTGTTAGGTTGTTGTGTTGCTGGTGCTGAGGTCCATCTTTCCGTAGATTAAGGTTCTCAGTATGTAGTATCAGTTTGATTAGCGTAGCTGTGCAAAGTGTGTTGGATATGTAATCTCCAAAGTTGCTTCTTTTTAGAGTGAGCAGACTCTTTAAAACTGTCTGATCGTTTCTGTTCAGGCTGTTTTCTCTTGCATTCAACTAGGATGAATTGTCTAAAAAGTGAACATGAGGTCTGATTAGGGACAAGAATGGAAATGTCACAATTACTGTTAAGTCCATTGGTGAAACGTGCAATTCCTTTATTGTACTAGTCCACTAGCTGAATAACAACCTGGCTGTGCTATCAGACTTTTATTAGCTGAAGTGGCGAATTTCTGTTGGGTTGGTCTAGAAGTTCTGACCTCTCTGGCTGTCCTTAGAGAGGCCAGATTGATGCCATCCCACATTTAAGTGAGAGATCCCACAGATCTCTCACACTGAAACTCTTGTTGGACTCTGACAAGTTGTGTGACCAAATATTAACAAATCTTTTAGCAAAGGATCTCACTTCACTGGCATGATGTGGAGATGACTGAAGGATGTAGCATTCAAGGAAACTTGTAGTTCCCAAGGTCATCTCTTAATTTTATTAAGCCTTCATAGCCAATAATACAGGCAGATTTCAAGGTAAGAATGGGAAATGTCCTTGTCAAGGGAGTTGGTGGTCAGCTTCTAACTTCTTCCCATGCATCTGTCACAGAGTTCCCACGTGATACTGTGCAAGTCTTTTAACCCAAGTGTAAGTAATCCACAGGTGTGTACCTCTTGTCTTCCAAGTGTGCAGCTTAAGATAGTGAGGTCTGCTTTACTGAAGTGTGGCGCACTACAATTTCATATTAACAAAATCCGTACCTTGAACTTCCTGCCTTTACGTTTGTCAAATACGCTGCCAAAGCAGTGGATACCTTTGAATGCAATGTGTGAGATGTTGCTAATCCCTCTCTTCCACAGCACTGGAAATGTGTGAAGCATTTACAGTGATTAATTTTGTACTGGAGAAAATCTTTAGAGAAATGTTTGAGAGGAGTTGAAAACATCAGGTGTGTGCCATCAAATAGGAGCTTCTGAAGTGAGCATGTGCTCTATGGAAAGTAGCATCTGATCATGTTGTTGCCACAGGGGGAACAAATTAAAGTTGGACTTGTTTTCTGGCATTTCTAATTACTGAAACGTTTGACTTTACAATAATTTCTTTTAGGATAGGTTATTTTGATACGTAGATGAGCTTGGTTGAATCTTGTTGGCTGCTTCTCGTGATGAAAGTGCAGGGCATAATTCGTGCAGGTATTGGATATAATTTGAGATACTTATGGAAAATGTCTACCATCTAGGTTCATAGGTAGGTAACATGCTTTTTGATCCGTCTTGGCAATGATTTGTAGGCAGTGCTCAGCTTTGTTTGTGTTGCTATTGTAAACATATAGCTGATTACACAAATAGCTGAATGTTTGTTTTAATTGATGATTTTTGAATAATTGATTAACTGGCAGGTCTCTGCTGCAGGGAGATTACCATATTTATTTTAATTAACTAATTGCACAGGCATGACTTCTTTAATGTGCACTGCAGTTCAGGTAAGGCATCTGCTGCAGCAGCCTGGTGAGATGCTTGTGCTGCTGCTGTACGGCTGCTAAAGTGATACTGAACAGTTGTACCAAGCTTTGTGGTTCTTTGTAAACTTCATTTGTTCTCAGGATCTATGATCAGTGTTTATATAATGTAAACCTCAAAATGACAGAGGTGCTGAAGTTGTAATTAGAGATAATGACACTAAATGTAGAACTGTAGATGATTTTTTTTTGTTTATTGTTGGGTTTTGTTTGTTTGTTTTGGAGGGTTGTGGTTTTGTTTTTTAACAAAAATCTTCACAGCAAGTTTTAGCACTTGACAGATTATTCTACTGAGGTAGATTGTGGATTGTTTTGATCTTTCTAAATTGTTAGGCAGCACCAGAAGACATGCGTGTTTTCCTGAAAGTCTTTCCATCTCTTTCTGTGGGCTTATGCTTGCACAGGGATTTTAACACAGAGGGGGAAAAAAGATCAGTATAGGAAAATAGTGTCAGGTTTGTTTGTGTGGTTGCTATTGGGAGATTTACTGTAATGGTATAATTAACTAAATAATAAAGTTTCCCAAGATAGAAGTAAAGTTGGATTTCAAATGAATTTGAGGAGCTGGTAGAGCTGTTTAAGTGTGATTAGCCTTGCAGGTATCATTTTCATTTTGTGTTACAGAATTATATTTTTGTATTTAAACAAGACTTAGCCAGCACATCAGTTACCAGGGCAGATGCACAGAATAAGATTGCTTATACCAGTTATCCCCGAGGCCTCAATTTAAAAACGGTTTTCTCATATTAAAGTGTAAGAGCCTGATGATGAGAGCTGTCATGTCTTAGCTGGGTAGCCGGTGTTATGAATACAATAGTCTTTAACAAAAAGCTCTCTTCCTTTGATCTTACAGATAAACTGCCACTGTTTCTTTGTATTCTTTCTTCTATTAACTCCATCTCCTGTGGTGGTGCTTCAAATCATCTGAGATCTACTTGGTCATCTAGGGCGATTTCATTTGTTTGCTTTTGGTGGGAGAGGTCCTCCACCTGTCCGGTTTTCTGTTGATACTCCTTCCTTCTACAGTTTCTTCCCAACTCCTCCTTTTGTGTTTGTACTTCTTCTCTTATCTACCTCTGTTTTCAGCCTGCAGCCTCTCTTTATTTCCTTTTCTTCCACCCAGTGTTCACACCCTTAGTCAGCTTGCCCTACTCTTTTCATTTGTGCTTTTAACTCTGCATCCAGTCCTCACATCCCATTCAGTGTGAGCCCCTCTGTGCTGGAGGGTCGGCACAACCTGCAGAGGTAACCAGTCAAGCATTGAAAATCGATGAATAAAAGAGTGGAGGTCCATGTTGTGTTGGGCTTGAGAAGCAGCAGTTTTTGTGAGCAGTGCTGACCAGTGTGATGTTATGACATGAAGTCAGAAGAAACACAGAGTTCCAGGAAAAAACTGGAGCAGTTATTTCTCTCTTTTTAAGAGGGAAGTTGGCTTCAATTTCATAGGAATAGTTGTATTACTACTGGAATTTTCTGAGAGCAAACAGTACCACTGACTTTAAAAACACTTTGTTGTGCTCATGGGCACTTTTTAAAATTCTACCATTCTCTTATAAAATGGAAGTTTCCTGTTCTTAAGAGCATTGCTTGGCCAATCCTTCTGGTGTCTGTCTGCCATATTATTACACTGCACACTCTGGACTTAACACAACTAAGTTGCCCAGGTGATTGATGGCCAGTGTCTGTGTAATGCAGGTTAAGTAGTCCTTTTCCTATAATGCATGTCTATGGTCTCATAAATCAATGGACTCCCTTTTTTTTTTTTTCCTCCCTAGTTTTCCTTTCCATCCACTGACACTCCCCACCCCTCATCCCCAAAAGGAGATTGCTGCAACTTTGAAGTTATAGTTTAACAGATTTAAAATAATGCAACACTTTAGTCTTCTTGTTTGGTTGGTTTGGTTTGTTGAATGGGAGGTTGCAAGTATGGAAAATATTTGCTTGGTGAGTATTTTGAAACAGCTTCCTCTCAGAAAGATGGAAAAATTCTACATGTGTAGACAGTTTTCATGGATTACCACTCCCATGTTGGCCGACTTCACAGTGTGCTTCTCAATTTCAGTTACTCTTGTTATCATCCTGTTTGGAGAAGATAAAAAGAGAAAGGCTATGGGGGGAGCAATATTTTTAAACAATTCTCTATATTTTCCTTCTCCAGCTAAATGTCAAGTTGAAGCATTTTTCTTGAAAATCCCTGTTCTCAGAGATTAGCATTTTATGTTAAGACCAGTCATTTAATTACAGAAAATTAATAGTTTTGAACTGTTTAAATACATAAAGGTAGGGTACTACAATAAAGCAGTGATTTGGATTATTCCTTTTAACCTTTAATTACAGTCATATCTATTAGGCTTATTGTAATTTGTTTTAGAACTAATCAAATTTATTTATTTATTTATTGAGTAGCTACTTTCTGAAATTTGACCTGAACAATCAGCATGCAAACAAGGAATCTGTAATATTTTGCTTTCCTGTTGTTGATTCAAATGGTAATTTCAGATTGTTGTTATAAACAAAAATAGCTCCCAGCTAATTTGCTTGATTTGTAGCAGAGTTCCATCCTCAAAAAAATAAATTTGAGAAGTCTGAGTGCCGATAAGAATAAAGTATTTGAAAACTCCTGCTTTGGTGGGGCTGGGAGGGAGATTGATTTGTTTGGTTGGTTATTTGGTTTTGTTTTGCTTTGTTTTTAAAGCAGAACAGTGCTGGAAATACTTTGTTGGGTTATTTACCAAATAATCTTTGTTTGGTTTTATGAACGACAGTGCAATTCTAATTGTGGTTCTAAAGGATATTCAGTAGCAGGACTGCTGCTGTGTTTGACATCCACTTCTATCTCTGAATGTTAGAGTGTAACTGGCTGATAGAAAATTAGGGGTCATGGCTGACTTAAATGTCTAACACACAGCTCTTTCTTTCTTTTTTTTTTTTTTCCTCCTTTGTTTTTTTCTTTTTTTCTCCTTTCTTCTTTCTTTTTTTTTCCCTCTCCCCCTTTTTTTTTTTTTTTTCTATTCTCCTGTTTCCTTAAGGATTTGCAGCACTTGCAGCAGCTTCAGCAGCAGAATCTCAACCTGCAACAGTTTGTGTTGGTGCATCCGACCACCAACTTGCAGCCAGCACAGTTCATCATCTCACAAACACCGCAGGGGCAGCAGGGTAAGTGCTTCTTGCCAGAAAAGCAAATCATACAGAGCTTTTATAGAGGATAAGGTGAAACTGAGGTGGTTCATATACCTTCACTAACTGTTGATAATCCCTAGGAGAAAAACAGCATTGCAATTAGGAAATGCTAACAGGTTGTCCCTTTGATGTTAGACCTCAGCCTTGTCAAAATTCGTGTAGCTCACTTCTCAGGGAGGATCAATCCAGAGACAGTGCCATGGGAACATTTGTTAACAACAAGGCTTCTTGGAAAACACTGCAGCATCTGAATTTTTGGGTTAGATTCTCAAGAAGCAAGAGTACTGGGAAGAAAAGTTGGAGAAGACAACTCTCCAGAAGTCAAAGGCAGAATCCTGTGAGGTGGAGGCCTGGTGGGTGCCTTGGCTGTCTGGATTAGGTCAATGCTCAAAGGACTACAAAATTCTAAGACTGTGTTGTGGTTTATACCAACAAGAGATACAAAAAAAGTGATGCACAGCGCAGCTCCTCACCACCCACCGACCCATGTCCAGCCAGTTCCCGGGCAGCAGCCCCCAGGCAGCTTTCCCCTCTTTGGTTTATATACTGAGCATGAGACCGTAGGGTGTGAAATATCCCTTGGGCAATTTGGGTCACCAGTCCTGGTTCTGTCTTCTCCCACATTCTCGTGGCTCACAGCCTCTTTGCTGATGAGGTGGTATGAGAGGCTGAAAAGTCCTTGACTCTGCGATGCTCAGCAACGACTAAAACATCAGCATGTTATCAACCTTCTTCTCATCCTAAATCCAAACCACAGCACTATACTAAGCAATAGAAAATTAACTGTATCCCAATCAAAACCAGGACAGACAGGAAAAAGATTACAGAATTAAAAGTTCTTGTGGGAAAGTGGAAAAGTACTTAAGCCTAAAGCAGGTACAGTGAATTTTGTCATAAACCAAAATAATAGTTACACCTTGGGAGAAGAGTTAGAATGCTTGATTTGTGTAACAGCTCTTAAAATAATAATATTTTGACCATGCACTGGGTATGACTTACATGCCAAAGACCATCCGGGGCATTGGGAGGTGGTAGCATGCCAGACCAGTTAAGATGTTGTACAAGTAGCTTTGTTGTAAGAACTAATGTGTTCGAGTTGCAATGCATCACGGTACTGATTGCAGCCCATTTGTTGATTCCCATGGAAAACTGTGTTTAGCTATGGCCTCTTATGCTGATATACTCTAGTAATCTTTTTTTCCCTCCTCTCTGTTCTACATGAACTCTACTCAGTTGTTCAGGTCTGGTAATCCAAAGATTCTTGCTCAGAAGGGAAATCCTGTTATGCTTGAAGAGTCCTCCAGAGCCTGGCTGTCCTGTAAAGCAGCTCTTTGCACCTCATTTTCTTCTGTTCCTTTCAATTTTTTCATGCATCATTCCTTCTTACATACTCTGAATTGGATAGAACCTGGCTTTCCATTATGCTGAAGTGCTTTTACTGTCTGAATGCTCTCACATTTGAATGAAAGGTTAGTCAAAATTAACTTCCTTTTAATAGGACTTGATTTAGGTGAGATTTTATACCAGTACTGGTAGAAAATGGCTAAAAGGCTATTCATAGAAGCATGCAGTGATGTACTATTTTCTTAAAATGAAGCAGAACTTATAAACTTAACATATTGTTCTATCAAGAAATCAAACCACCAAAATGTAATTCAAGGATTCTTTAAAATAGCTTTTTTATTAAAATAAATTATTTTAATGAAACAGTAGGCACAAAAGTGTTGTATTGAAAAAGTCATTGGTATTAAGGTCTACCTACATTTTTCAGCAAAATTCTGCTGGTTTTCTAAAATACCTCTGAAGACATCTCACAAAAAGGGAAAACTAAGAGAAGCAAATTGTATTCATCTCCCAAAATGAGTTGTTTGCATTACGGAAAGGAAGGGAGGCTTTTCCGTTTGTTTAAAATCTCCTGGAGTAGAATTAACTACTAGAGGAGGTTTTCGTAGTACCTTTCTCAGGAGCCATCTGTAAAATTAGTTCTTCACTGAAATGTAAGACCTGCGTATTGTTGTCATCCAGCAACTCAGTGTGTGTAGAAAGGTTGTGTTTTACTGGTAATGGGCAGCTTGGACAACTGCATAGCTCAAAATTGTAGGGAGATTTATGGGCTGAATTCTGACCACAGGTCATTACTGCGTGACAACCTTCCAAACAGAAATGCTTGAATGGATCTCATTTTCTTCATGAGCACTCAATGATAAAGCAACATTTATGCCATAATACCCCTTATATCACTTTTTGATGTGGCTTTTTTGCAGTATTTCGCAGTTATTATTAGAAGATCACAAACTGTACATTACTATTTATGAGAAAGATTGAGAAAGTGTGTGTTTTTACTTTGCTGTTGCAGCTGACTTTTCCATGTTGTTCTTGTCCTGTTGCTCCATTAGCCAACTTCGTAAAAGAATAAATATTCTGAGGAAACTAGCATAGAGTTTTCTTTAAAACCAATGGTGTTCAGATTTCTTTTGATGCCTCATTGGTACTGCATGGAGCTTTATATATATGTATGCATTTAATACCTAACATCAAAATTCAGATTTGTGTATAGATTATGTATTCTGGAAGAAATTTATTGCTTTACAGACTGTGCTACTTGTTTTGTGTATGCCGTATAGTCATGTAAATGTTTTTCAAATGAGAAGAGTTTTGAGGAAAACAAGTGAAGAATAGTATCTCTAAAGAAGATTTTAGAAGACATGTATACATTTGGTAAAAAAAAAACTTGTTACTTGAAGAGGTGATGGGATACAGAGAAATACAATCATCAGCAATCATATGTAGATTCTTGAAGGGATTGAACTTCATGACCCTGGATCCAAGCTTTGAAATATATTAGAAAATTCAATACCTCAAATATTAATCAATAATAGGGATGTTATTCTCCTGTCTTTCTTTAACACAACCATTATAGCACCCAGCAACAGATACAAAATTTTCTCCATAAACCCCCTGCCATATGTCTAACATAGTCACCTTCCTTTTCCAGATGATTTCTGGCTATTTAGTGGCTTATATGAAACAAATTTACAAGTTCTCATTTTTCATGGCTGGTAATTGGTAACATCATAACTGAAGGAATTGTTTCAAGCCTCAGCGGTTATGCAGCAGATTGAATGGAAATAGAAATTTGGAACAATTTCTTATTCAGAGCGACTGTTGTCCAGATTATTGGTAAAGTCACAGGCAGTGACTGTAATGGTTTTATACCTCTTGTATCTGTTCTTGTATCTAATAGATCTGTCTCTAGAATAATCAATTGAACATCCCTTACTACAATTATAGCTGCTTCTTAGAAATATTACCCTCATCAGGTGACTGTTCACCTTTCTACTTGGGAGATGTTGCCAATAAAAATCATATCAATAAAAATCTGAATGGAGAGGGGAATTGGTGCCGCATTTAATATAAATTAATCTTGCAAACAGAAGTTGTTAAGATCTAAGAAAATACTGTATCATTGTCAAGGAGATTTAGAAATAGTACTTAAAAAGAAAATATCCAGAAAGGCAAATATGGAAGACAAGCTACTAATTACCTTTAAACACTGAAACTGGGCCTACGTATTCTCAAGTTATTGCTGTTTATTATTAAAGACCTTGTTTATTATTTCAGTTTTTATTGTGAAGTTACCTGGGATGATGATAGGAGGCCGAATTCAGTCCTGTTCTCTTTTTTCCTATATGTCCTACAGACTTTAAGGCTTTTAGGACATGAGGTCATGGTCTGAAGCTCTGCCAGGGGAGGTTTAGGTTGGATATTAGAAGGAAGTTCTTTACAGAGAGAGTGATCAAGCATTGGAATGGCCTGCCCAGAGAGGTGGTGGATTCACCGTCCCTGGAGGTTTTTAAGATGAGGGTGGATGTGGCACTGAGTGCCATGATCTGGTAATTACAGTGGAGTTGGATCAAGGGTTGGACTTGATCTCGGAGGTCTCTTCCAATGCAGTTAATTCTATGATTCTGTGATTCACTTATGTGAAAGCTGTTGTAATGGCTTTGTCTTGCAAGCTCATCTTCCAGGATATGTCTGTGAGAAGATGAACAGCTTTGGCAGAGATAAAGCAGGCAAGTTCTTAGATGAAAAAATTCACTCTTTAGGGAGATAATTTAAGAATGAATTATGTATTATGCTTCTGGGCCAACTTCTTAAAAATTATGCTGAAAAAGTCTGCACTTGAATGTTTGTTTTATCTTTTGTTTAATTTTAGACAGTAAGAACTGAACCCCAGATCAGTCCTTGGGGACTGTTGGCTGGCAGGAAGAGTTTTTTGGCTTGGACCATTATTCATGCAACTCACAGACATTACAGGAAAAATTCTGAATGATGGTACATGCATTTACTTTACCTATTAAAAAAATTAAATACCTCTAAATTGTCATACTTTTGCATAGATCTTTACCTCCTTGCAGTAATTCTTTTGGAGTGTCACACAGGTAATTTGTATGCCATATTTAATACAATAATACCACTGGGCTCTTAAAACCCAGGGCAGAGGGTTAGGAATAAGACCTCTGTAAAGTATGCAAGTACACTATCAGCTTTTACAGATTCAAAAAAATCGTGTGGGCTGGAAGGGACCTCCAAAGTCATGTAGTATTGCTCAAAGCAGGTCCAGTTACAGCAGAGTGCTCAGCACCTCAGACAGTTGAATTGAACATGTCCAAGGGTCGAGTTTCTGCAGCCTTTTCAAGTACCTGTCCCAAGTTGACTCCTCTCCTGGTAAAAAAAGAACCCCAAATAACATTTCCTGCATCAACCTTCATGAGGTTCCATTTGTCCAGCCAGTCTAAATCCTGACTTCTGGCCTGTTAACCGCTTTCCCCATATTTGCTATTGTCCACAAACTTGCTGAGAATACATTTTGTCCCATCAGCCTTACTGGTAATAAAGATGTTACAGAAGCACAGCACCAGTTGTGTTGGAAAAGTCCTCTGAGATCATCAAGTCCAACCGATGACTGAACACCACCATATGCCGCATCCAGTCTCTTCCTAAACACCTCCAGGGACAGTGACTCCACCATCTCCCTGGGCAGCCCATTCCAATGTCTCATCACCCTTCCTGTGAAGAAATTCTTCCTAATGTCCAACCTAAACCTTCCCTGACGCAGCTTGAGACCGTGTCCTCTTGTCCTGTTGCTTCTTACCTGGGAGAAGAGACCGACCCCCACCTGGCTATACCCACCTTTCAGGGTGCTGTAGAGAGTGATGAGGTTTCCCCTGAGCCTCCTCTTCTCCAGGCTAAACAACCCCAACTCCCTCAGCTGTTCCTTACAGGATTTGTGCTCCAGTCCCTTCACCAGCCTGGTTGCTCTTCTCTGGACCTGCTCCAGCACCTCAATGTCCTTCCTGAACTGAGGGGCCCAGAAATGAACTCAGCACTCTAAGTGTTGCCTCACCAGTGCTGAATACAGGGGAAGGATCACTTCCCTGGTCCTTCTGGCCACACTGTTCCTGATCCAGGCCAGGATGCCATTGGCCCTCTTGGCCACCTGGGCACACTACAGGCTCATGTTCAGCCTCCTGTCAATCAGCACCCCCAGGTCCCTTTCTGCCTGGCTGCTCTCCAGCCACTCTGTGCCCAGCCTGTGGCACTGCAGGGGTTGTTGTGGCCAAAGTGCAGGACCCGGCACTTGGCCTTGTTGAACCTCATCCCGCTGGAATCAGCCCAACTCTCCAGCCTGTCCGGGTCCCTCTGCAGAGCCCTCCTGCCTTCCAGCTGATCGACATCTCCCCTACCCCACCCCAACTGGGTGTCATCTGCAAATTTGCTAATGGTGGACTCGATCCCCTCATCCAGATCATCAATAAAGTTATTAAACAGAACTGGACCCAACACTGATCCCTGGGGGACACCACTGGTGACCAGCTCCCAACTGGATGCAGCCCCATTCACCAGCACTCTCTGGGCCCAGCCATCAGCCAGTTCTTAACCCAGCACAGAGTACTCCTGTCCAAGCTGTGGCCTGCAGCTTTTCCGGGAGAATGCTATGGGAGATGGTGTCAAAGACTTTGCTTAAGTCCAGGTCCAGGACTAGCTCCACAGCCACTTATGGATAACCTGGGTTTTCCTGTTCCTTTCATCATTCATCCTTCCTGCTGAAGGAACTGACCAGGACACCACCTGTGCCCCTGTCTCCTCAACCAGTTGTTATCCCTTACATAAGCCCCAGGGAAGCAGCAAACTTCCCTGTGGGATGTCTCCAGTTGGCCCACAGGACCCTCAGTTCCCCTCAGAAGGGAATCACCTACTACAACTACCCTTCTTTCCTTAATACCTGAGGTTGTCATCTGTCTAATAGATGGAGCACAACTGGGAAACCCTCCAGATAGATTTTTTTTTTTTCTCTAGTGTCATCTGCCTGACCCTCTATATCCAGGGCCTTGTACCTATTCTGTAAGGGCTCCTGGGAGGGCAGGGGGGATTGGGAGGGGATTCTTTTACCTCCCTGAGCAGAGACCCTTTTCCATTCCCCCCCATCTACTACATCTCCTCTTTCTGCCTGAAAGCAAGAAGAGCGGGGCTTCTCTGACTCCTGCTGAGCCTCAGGATTGGAAGGGTATAACTCCATCAGTCTATTTCCATTTCACTCTCCCTAATACTCCTTCACCTTTCCACTTCTTCTTTAAGCTCTACAACCAGACAGAGCCAATCAGTCCAGTATGAGTCCCTAAGGAAACAGCGTTGTTTGAAACACCAGTATCTCAGAAGCTACCTAAAAGGTGCAGGCTTGGACTTAAACTGGATGTAAAAGGCTGTGCCCTGTAAGTTGTCACCAAAGTTATTTCAGACCGAAGTGGGGACCAGGATTTCTTCTTAGAAAAGAAATTAGGGCGAAGCTTAGGCATGTTTAAGTCATGTTTGAAAGGAGCAAAACTGCAGCTGCCCACCCGTGAAAGCCAGCGAGCACCCAAAGTGTGGGCGTGGCAACTGCCTGAAAAGGCTGTAATCAGGAGAAGAGACACATACTTTGCCAAAACAGTTCAGCTGCTTTCCCCGTCCCCTGATTGTTGCTTTAGTCAGCTGCAGGTTGAACTAACTTGTTCTGTCTCCCCTTTCTGCCTGAGACACTTTGTATCACTATGTCTTAAATAGGATGAAATTATGTTAAAACAGAGTAGATTGAACATGTTCAGATTATTTTATACTGTCATTCCATGGTAATTACTTCAGAACATGGGAGCGAGAATAAAATTAGAAAGAGCATAGTCATTCTATGCTCTTTAGCAACAGTGTTATTGCCAGAAAAACATCCTCTGGGATTTCTCTGAAGACAAAAAGTCACAAAAGTCACAAAAGTCCTAATTACTCTGACTGCAGTTGTAAGACAAGTCAGTAACTTGTAATCAGGTGTTGTCACCGTCAGCTGCCTGGTTTTTGTCTCATTGTAATATGGGTGTGATGGCTTTGCCTCCTATTTCAAGTTGTCAGTTAAAATTCAATGTCACTGAACGCAGGTCAAAACCTATTCACTTAGAGGTGACTGTTCACTAATTAGTATTTAGATTCGGGCAGCTAAAATAATCTTTTAAGTGAACAAATATTTGCATTGTAAAAAGCACCATGTAACTAGTAGGTAGCTGTCTTAGAAGTTCCTTAAGCAGCTCTGTTCCCTCGCTGTGGCGTTTAAAAACACAGCTGGAACATGTTGATTATGTGGTGCAAAGCAAATTTACATAGTTGTCTATGCTGTGCTATTGTGTTGCAAAGCAGCTGCCTGTATTCACTACCTCTTGAGCATTTTGATAGCAACACATTCTATTTAAAACACATTTTCAGTTCTTTGTTTAACAAAAAACAAGTATCACTGTCAGAAGACAATGCTTCTGTAGTTGTGTATCCCTTACTGAGGATTCATTTTCTCTTTCCTATCTATGGTAGTAGTTCCTCTTTTCATGTCTTCTATGCCCTTAACCTTGCACAGAACATCAAGTTTCTCACTCAGTATTTATCAAGTCCTAAATTCCTGTGTCCCCTACCTATATTCTAGTAAGAGGTAGATCAGGCAGATAATGATACTGAATTTAGGTGGCACTTAGTTGGCGTTCTGTCCTCTGAGTAGCATAGCGACAATCAGTTCTCCCCTGGTTTTAGGAACATGGTATATTGAAGGTGCCTATGAGGGATAAGTTTAATTAGTCAGGTTCTTAAATTATGATAGTGGAAATTGATAGTCATAGCCAGGAGTTACCTAAAAAATAACAGTTAATATTTTTCACAATAAAATTGAGATTTGACTAACTGTTGGTATGTTTTTCTCAAGATTCTATTCCTTAAAAATAAATACATTTTTGTATTAAAAATAAAAAAAAATCATACTGATTTTAGTTAAAATCTGTAGATGCAAGCATGTATCTTAATTTCCTCAGAAATTTAATAAGCTATGCAAATAGTGGACTGCTAGAGAATTTATTTTTTGATTGACAGCATATTGTGTTTATTGATTCTATCAGTTGCAACTGTTCTTTAATGTTGCCACTTTTCAGTAGTAGAAGGATTTTCATATATTCAGTGTAGTGTTTTTTCTGTTTGTTCAAATGGAGCAGTGTTCAGTATCTTACCTGAACTTAAATTCCAATTACTTTTCCCAAAGGTGCCAGCTTTAACTGACCCAGGAGAAAGTTATCTAGGCTTGTTGTGTCTTCTGATGTGGTCTGTTAAAGTTTGCCACAGGAAGTTTCCTTCCTGTTAGGCAGCTGGCATAGAGTCATACAGAGAGGAAGGAGGGTGATCAAGAAGCCACATTTGTGGCTTTGATTAGTATTCAGTTATTGAATTTGATCTGATTGGTGCTCAGTATTTTTATATGGCTCTGTAATTCTTTGTCAGCTGTTGATTATCAGAAGAGTTGTATCCAAAATCTGCATGCTGAAATGATTCCTGCACATGGAACTGGGTTAACCTAGAGCATTACAAACTCTTCTTGCAGAGAAGACTAGTACAGACTTCTCTCTTACCCTTCTATCACCACATATATTTCAGGAAAACGCAAGGGGATTTTGGACTACCAAGTCCAAAGTCTGAAGATACCTATGCAGGGATGAAATTAAAGCCTGCATCTGGAATTTTTTTCGAACTTTTCATCATTCAGCAAGAGCCTTGTTTCCCCTCATTTCATGTTTTAGTCTTTTTAAATGACAAACCAAACCCACACTTTTCTCTCACCAGGTCTCCTGCAAGCGCAGAATCTCTTAACGCAACTACCTCAGCAAAGCCAAGCCAACCTCCTGCAGTCTCAGCCAAGCATCACCCTTGCCTCGCAGGTCAGGCTTATTTCTACAGTTCATGAGTTGCTTTGAGGGGATTTAAACTCTGGCAAGTGAATGGACCCTTTGTTTTAGTTACCTGAATAGATGTTGTAGCTATAATAGTAAATTTGTGTTTCTAAATAGCTCAGTTTTATAGTTCCCACTCCAATGTGCCTGTGTTTTCAGGCTTTAATGTTCTAAACTTTTATTTTTAGCTGGAAATTTTTGTGATTGATACCTTGAGTTAATGTAGAGCATCATTTGATTTCCTGTAAGGCTTTCTTGGATAATCTTCAAATTTTTGAAATTTAGAGCAGCAAGGTGTGGGCTACCTAAAAAAACTCAAAAAGAGGATTACTGACAAGTACCTTTCTGAAGATTGCAGTGATGATCTACCTTTATTATAATGTAGTTATTTTGATACCATTGCTAAGTCATTGCCAGTCTTACCAGTTACCATCTGTGAAAGTGAAGAGATTGTTAGAAAGAAAATATTAAAATATTCTGTTAGTAGAGCCCTATCGTTAAGCTTTCAGACTGTAAGAAAAGCAATTTAAGGTTGCACGTCCCCGTAAATTTAGTTGTGCTTTGCTCTGGGTTTTACTGTGCAGTTTAGTTTCATGACTGCATGCTGTTTCTCAAATACTATGTTATATCATGTGATATCTTCCTGCCAACTTGGTTACATATAAGAATTTTCTAGTCTGCAATAACGTGTCTGAGTCTATCAGAGTCTTAGAAAACTATGTTTTCTATTATACCACCTGTAGTATTTTTCATGCACCATGTGGAAAATGGAATTTGTCTCACCTCTGTAGTTTATACCTCTGGTAGCAGCAGTATTCCTCACTAAGAATTACACTTGGATTTTAAAAAAAATTTAAAATACTAATGAAAAATAAAATTATGTAATGTGGGTGAAATCAGTAAAGACATATTGCAGTAATTACCCACTATGATTAGTGTAAATTAAAAAATATTAAAAACCTCTAAGTGGGACACACTTATCTGTGGTCCTAGAAAGATCATATATGATTACATTATTTCTCAAGCAATGGAATTACAGATCTTGACCTCCCTCTACCATCTGCTGTGCACTGCAAAACACTGCAGTAACCCAGGAGAAAAACAACATAATGGGCAATAAAGACTCAGCCCTGTGTAGGCCATTTCTTTGAGAAGAGCCTTCTCTGTACCTTTGCATAGACTTTGCATAATACTGTAGTGCTGTATAGACCTGAGGCTGTTCTTATTTGGCCTGAAGGAATCTGTAGTTTCAGAGCTGGGCATAGGTCACAAAAAAGCATGCAGTCATCTTTACTGAGGAGCCTCAGCTCAGCTGAATAGACTTCAACCAGAGCAAATGATTTGTCTCTGCATCTCAGTTCATCATGGCTTGTAAGAAGGTAGAGTTATGCATTCAAAACACATTTCCAGTGTTCCTGTTGCACATAAAGCCTGAACTGTGCAGTACCAGATATTTTGTTCACCTGCTACTATTTTCCACAGTGCTCATTTCTTTTTAGATACTTATTGTTGTTGCATAGCAAAATGCTCTGGTATGCCAATGTTCAGGAATAGTGAACCTCTCATGGACTTCATGGAAAATTAGTCTTTTATGTAGAAGAAAAATGTGACCTAAAAGGAATTATTTTCTGCACATTGCCTTTGCTTACTGTCTCATATCACCAGTATGTTTATTCTTACTATTGCAACCATCAATAGAAGGGTGACAGGTAGATCTGGAAGAGTTGAGTCAGTCACAAGAGATGGAATTAGAAGAAAGTTGGCATGTTTGCTGCCCCTGTGTGTGCTCATTCTTCCAGGATTAAATAGGAGACTTGAGTCTTTTGGGCTGATGACAATCTGCCACCTCACACAAGCAGTAAATTCAATTTTAAAATGATTAAAAAGGGATGAATGCCAAGCTGTCTATGAATGTTAGAAGTGTATCAAGCAAGAGTGTTCAGCCTTTCTTTGAACAGCTTCTGCAGCAAATTAAAGTTGTAGGTTATCATTGAGCATCTCTTCTTTAATTGGTTATGACAGAGCCTTTAAAAGGCTGTGATAGTGATAGAGTTTTCTGGGTTGTGATTGCTTGTTCTGGAGAGGAATGTAAATAAACTGGAAGAACTTTCAGATTGCGGGAAATGTCCACTTCATTGATCTTTCTCACCAGAACATAACGTACCTTTTTTTTGAATTCAGTTTTTGTTGATTTTTTTTTTAAACCTGATTTTCATCTTCTCCTTGCTATCCTAATAGCCAGCAACCCCAACACGCACAATAGCAGCGACCCCCATTCAGTCACTTCCACAGAGCCAGTCAACACCAAAGCGAATCGACACTCCCAGCTTGGAGGAGCCCAGTGACCTTGAGGAGCTTGAGCAGTTTGCCAAGACTTTCAAACAAAGACGGATCAAACTTGGATTCACTCAGGTGAGACTGCGTACCTTAGTGCCTGCCAGTGTGGAACCTGAGGTCTCATCTTTCAAGTCTGGAGGGAGACTGCAATTCCATCTTTTCCTAGGAGAACTTGCTTAAATAGGGTTATGCTCTGGCCTTTATGTAGGGGATTTCTAAGAAATAACAGAAAAAACCATACATCCATCTTACTTCCCTGTTGGTTTTAAAGCATAGCCATTTTCCCAGCAGGGGAAAACGTGCATTTACCAGCTCCAGATGTCATTGCATGTGCACTATTCATTCTATAGGATGTGACATGAATGGGACAAAGCACTTTAAAGCTGCCTTCAGAAGTACAAAGTTCCTAAAATCATACAGCACAATTAACTGCTCTGTGTGTTTAAAAAGTGTATCACATCTGTGCAGTTGCTTTGGATGTCAAAGGGTTTTTCTCTCTCAAGTGTATTTTCCTATTAAACATCAATGATTTTCGTATTTAATGCTTTTGTTAAGGTTCCTAAACAAAACCTGAAAGGACTGTCACCTTTGAAGTCTTCTCCTTACAGAGGTGAACTGGAGTTGTGGTTTGTTTTCGTTTGTTTAAAAGTTCAGAAATACCCGTAGAGCAGAAGAAAAGTAATCTTGAACATAGTGAAAATCGTTGAATGGAGAGCACAATTAAAAGTACAAAGTGCATTTATATGTTCTGTTATTCTGCTGAAGGGAAAAGCTGCTTGAATCCAGGAGTCTTTTCTTATTAATATCAAAATGAGATTTTGTTCCCCCCTACAAAATTAAAATGTCTGTCCAGGTAAACAGTTAATCTTGGCAGGATTCTGTGGTTAAGCATGAGCATGTTTTTACTTAGAAGAAAGAGTACGAAAAAATGAAAGTATTTAAAAGTCTGAGCTCAGAGCAGTCAGTCCAACATACATGATTTATTCTCCCCCCAGAATCTCTCTGCTCTAGCTGAAAGTATGTGCTGAAGTCAGATTTATTTTTCTGGCAAAGTCTTAAATGTTTCAAAAATCAAAGTTCATAATGAAAGTTCCTGACAGCATCTTAATTATAACTCAAGAACAGAATGTTCTTAGTCAAATGAAGTGCATTTTGCTGGCATGTGTGCCTCCTTCCCTCTGTTCTTTCCGCTAGAGGGAGGCACAGAAACACAAGTGATGGACACACATAAAAGCCCGAATAGAGCAGAACAGAATAGAGTAAAATACAATAGCTTTCCCATAGCCTGACTGAGGAGGTTCACGTGGATCTCTTGTTATTATGTTTAATCTGCCCTCCTGTGAGATGATTATAAAGGCTCAACTGGACTTTTTAAGTTATATCTTAACCCTTCTTTATGGACCTTGTTGTGAGTTTTCATAATGAGGAAAAACGAACACAACTGCTCAGGCTTACATTTCAGTATTTGCTTTTGAGATTAAAAAAGGGGAATCTTAAGAATGTGCTAAAATTGCATTTGGTCATTCCTATTCTACTCTGAGTTGGTATGTGTGTAATTAGACTGTTCTAATAACTTCTACCTAATTGCATAATTGGATGATAATTAGAGACTCTGATTACTTTAGTTTCCTATAGTTGGATAAATAGACTGCCTTTCAGAGGATAAAAGAAATTTATTTCCAGTGGCACTGCAAGCTTTTTCGGACTCATGCCACCCCTAGATCTCAAAAATAATTGTAAGATTTAGTTTGCATTGCAAACTAATCACTTACTACATTCTGTCATGTGAACAATATAACAGGTTTTGAATTTCATCAGTTCTGTCTCTTCTCCCACCCTGAAAAGTGGGTGATGGATTTAAATCCTTCTGTTTGCTTCCCTTAAAAGTATCTCCATGTTTGACATACAGAGACACAATGAACCTACTGCATCTTAGCATGATTGCAGACCTGTGACTAATTGCTTAGTCTAATTCAAGCTACGTGAGTGTACATTTTAGACAATGTTATTTTTATTCTGTAAAAGATATTACCTCTGCTAGTCCATCTGAACTTCTTAACAGACCGGTACACACAATGATGTACCTTATAATCAGTTTCAGTTCATTACCAGAGCTTCATTCAACCTACAGAGTAGATCAGATGTGTATACAGTGCCTTTATACTCTGTTCCATCCATCCTTTTGGTGGTATTTCCCAATATACAAAATTCTCATCCCTGTATGTCGATACCTTTGCCTACAGCTGAAATGCTGCCACCTTTTGGCATTGACAAAGAAATGGCTAACTATTAATTTTAAATCAGATGGCAGATGTTAGTAAGAACAACATAAATATCAGAATTAAATTTAGTTTGGGGACTGGAGCAAATTTCATAACTCTTTCCTGCCAAGACATAAATCAACTTATCTCTAAAATGGTTTATGTAGCCAGGTTTTCTTCTTCATAAACCCAGCAGAGCATCCACATTACTCCTCTTGGAATGATTTATGAGTTTTAAAATGCACAGAATCCTGGCATATAAGTAGAGGTATAAATGTGAATTCCCATATGTTTCCTCTGATTGAAGGGCACACAAACCAATTGTTCTGGTCCTCTTCTAGGAAGGAAATTGTTTTCTTTGCACAACCTGCACAATTTATGAAGCTTATCGAAGGTTGTTTTCTTCCTCACTTGTGTGTGGCCACTTTGCATGCTGTTAGTGTACTCACACCAGGCTGTGGTTGTGGAACTGACCTAAAAGAAAAGCAAGCTTTATACACAATCCAACTAACCTATTTGCAATTAAACTCCACTAACTAAATGCTCAAGCTTTTCAGTCTCTTCTTCTAGACTTCTCATACTTTTTTTGGAGCTAAAAAATAAAAATCTAAGTAAAACTACTTTAGACCAAATAGTGTACTTGAAATATAAATACACTTTTTTCAAAGGGTAGGATCTTCCAGCTTTAGAACAAAGCAAGAAAATTCTATGGTGTTATTAATGGCCACAATCAAGAACAGATTGATTTTTTTCTTCTAAACAAAACTTTCAAAATATGTACTAGATGGATAGATAGATAGATAGATAGATAGATAGATAGATAGATAGATAGATAGATAGATAGATAGATAGATATTAGGATAAGCAGAATGTCTAATAGCTGGCTAAAACTGGGTTTTGAAAAGAAATAACAGATATAAAGAGATCAGCATCTGTCTGTAAATCTCCTGGATAGTTTTTTGGCAGCTGGGTAATGATAGTCAAGACTACAGTTAATCATTATTTGGAATGGTTCAACTTCTTGTCTGCTTTGAAATCTCTATCTGTTGGGGAGAAGTTTGGCTTGAACCTCAGAAGATATTAAAAGTTCAGATAAGAATATTTCTGCATCTGTTTAACTGTGATATGTGTTTGCAGACATCTTTTCAAAAGTGTTTTCTAGTAATTTGAGAACATGAATTCACTGCATTTCTGCTTATTTGAACTTTTTTCCTTCTGTGTGAAATATGCAGAAACTTAAATCTATTACTAAAGAGAGCTTGGCCCTTTTTTTATTTTAAAGAACTAAGAAAAACAATCACAAGTTAATATTCAGTGGAATGTGCTGCTCAGTGATAATGTTAAGAAGACAAAGCATCAGGGATTTCCTGGAAAGAGTTACATGGTTAAATTGACTGAGGTTTGACATTTCTCTATGATTATTGCTTTAGCATGAATCTTGGTAGCGCTGAGAAAGCTTCTGTGAAACTGAAATCCCACACAGCAGTGGAGTCACTAAGAGAACACAAGAATGTGACAGGATTCCTTGCTTTGGAAGTGCCTATGTCAGTGAATCCCTTTTTTCTCTTTCTTTGTCCAGGGTGATGTTGGGCTCGCTATGGGCAAACTCTATGGAAATGACTTCAGCCAAACTACCATCTCTCGCTTTGAAGCCTTGAACCTCAGCTTTAAGAACATGTGCAAGTTAAAGCCACTTCTGGAAAAGTGGCTCAATGATGCAGGTGAATGAGTCTGTGTATTTCTTCACCAGCCTGCCAAAGTCAGTAGGATTCTGAAAAACTGCTTCGTTGGTGCCCTTATGGTTTTATGAAGCTGCTAGTCTTTGTCACTGTCCATGGGACAAATAAGGGTGTAGAAATAAGGGTCCATGCTTCCCTTTCAATGTGCCTGTACGCATCCAAAATAGTTCCAGTATGAACTTCCAGAAATGTGTTCTGCAGACAGACGAGTAATTGCATGGGATGAGGTACAATATGCGTCGTGGTTTCCCTCCTTCATGTATGTTAATGCATATAACTTCTAATCTGCTTCCAGCTTTCTTTTTCAGATGTGTAGTAGAGAAAGGTTTGCATGATTCGTTGTTTCAGTAGGCAGAGCTTATTGCATCCATCTCCTTCTACACCCCTATGTGCATTCTTTTCATCTCTCTCCAAGAATCCATATAAATATTCTCTTTCTCCCAGTAAAAAGAGGTTTTTGTGGGTTAGGTTTTGCTTTTTCCTTTCCATAATTTTTTTTTCTGGGATATAAGTTATTCATTATGCCAATGTTGGTAGTATTCTTTTTTTTTTAATCTCCCATCAGCAAAAGGAGCTTGTACGGTGGTGCTAGGTGTCAGGATAGAAAGTCTTCAGGAGTTCTGCCAGCCAGTTTTTTCTTCCAAATATGCAACTGTACATGGTATAAAACTGATGGGTATGTAAAACAGATGGCAGGGATGGTGTATGCCTTCCTATTTTTACCAAAATGGAGAGAGCTTTATGCTGGTGCCTACAGTATTCTCTGAAATTTTGAAAGTAATTGGATGCAGTGTTGAAAATTTGTCCTACCTTGAGAAAAGGAAGTGTCATTCTGTTGTGCTGACAGGGGTTATCTTTAGGTATCTAGATCTGTGATAGAAAATGTATTACTTCACTGAGTGCTCTAGTGCACAGGGTAGTGATTCCCAAACCTTCCAGCAACCCTGGATGAGTTCAGTGCTGCAGAGAGTGTCATCATTTGCCTTTCCTGCAAGCCTGAAGAAATACTTGGATCTGTAAAGTTAAGGACTCTAAACAGTGTTGGGGTCCTTCACAGCTTGAAAGTGTGGAATGATTGTCTCTGGTTCTGACTCAGTTTCATGAAAATCTTTGGGAAAAAAGATTCAGATTACTTCAAAAGCTATTTATTTTACCTTTAGGTAAAAGCAGGCAGGAGAAGCATACCAGTTCCTTCCATTACACTACATGGGAGCATTGTAGGATTTTCTGTCACAGAACTCAGCTTGTTCTATTGGGGTTTCAGTCTGAGGAAGGGTTTCAGCACATTTATGAGTGCCATTACTTGCCCATTTGAGTCAACCAAAATGATGTTAGGCATCATGAACTCTGACATCTACTTACCACCCACAAACCCCAGGGCAGTGAGGGAACTCCAACCATAATTAATCATTTGGTTTAAATTCCCTGCAGGAACTTACTGGTTGGTTGTATTGCACTTCCTGCTATGGAGTGGGGTTAAGTGTTCTCTCTTTGTTGCTCTGGGAAGCCAGGAAGACAGGATTAGGGGTTAACAGGTAGAGCCCTGGTGAAGCTAAGGAGGGGGAGCTGCTCACTATGTAGACTGTTTGGTAGCACTGAATATCTGCCAAGCTGTCCAGAGAGAAGAATTTGAATGAACACTGTGAAGCTGACTGTGAACTTCTCTTCCCCTAGTGGGTAAAAGTAAGTTCAGGCTGCTCAGATTTCATAATTGCCTGCGACTTTCAGCTCTAGCTTGTGGATATCAGTTACTGCTGTTTTTCTTTAAACTGGGACTTGCAGTGAGTGGATGTGGAGTGGAGTGTGATACACGAGACAAACTTTGTATAGGTGTTTTAAAAGGGGTATCTTGGTAGTGTACAGGAGCAGAGAGCACCCTCTGGGCTTACTTATAGCTTTTTAGTTACAAGTAGATGTTGTAATTTGTAGATACAATGATTAATGCATGTGATCTTTGTAAATCTCTCTATATTTGGAATAGATACAGAGTGGGTCTTAATGTACCTTGCACAGATAAAGAACACTTGTGTTAGACTGCGCTGCATTCAGACAAAACCTCCTGATCTGTGTTACTTTCTTCTTTTTCAGAAAACCTCTCATCTGATTCAACTCTCTCCAGCCCAAGTGCCCTGAATTCTCCAGGGCAAGGGATCGAAGGCTTGAACCGTAGGAGGAAGAAACGCACCAGCATAGAGACCAACATACGTGTGGCCTTAGAGAAGAGTTTCCTGGAGGTCAGTGATCCTGTTGCTGTGCTCAGCCTTTGAAGAAACTTTGGTCAGCAATTAGAGCTGTTAGAGTGAGCCCATTACTGTGCTATTTAGGAAAGTGTTAGCACTAAACAAGGTAAATACAAAAGCTGTGCCAAGAAGCCCACATCAATGTCTACTTCACTTTAAAAAACAAACCCACACAAACCCCTTCAAAAAAACTCATTGGTTCTTGCAGTTTGCTGATTTTGTGATTTTGTATTCCAGTATACTGAGCAGTAGATCTAAACATTCCCCTTTCTGAGGATGGATAAATGGGGCAACATTCTGAATATATGTAATGTGAGGTAATTAGCTGGAGGGCAGAAGCACCTGTTATGGTTTGTCTCTGCTCTACCACTGATCAGGTTCTGGACCTAAATCACCTCATCCAGATTTCTGCCTACTGAAGAAGAGGCTACACTGTAAAACCTCTGAAGGTAATTTCACAGCTTTTCAAGTACTGTTTCCTTTCCTCAGAACCAAAAGCCTACCTCGGATGAGATCGCCATGATAGCTGACCAGCTAAACATGGAGAAGGAGGTGATCCGCGTTTGGTTCTGTAACCGGCGCCAGAAGGAGAAAAGGATCAACCCACCCAGCAGTGGTGGAACCAGCAGCTCGCCCATCAAAGCAATTTTCCCTTGCCCAACCTCACTGGTAAGAATTAAGAACTATGTTGGCAACGTTCGCTCAAAGAGGTAGTTCTACTGTGCTCACTATGGAAATTACAGATGCTGCACCTTCTGTGTATAGCAGACTTGTTCTCACATATTTAGATTTTACTGGCATTTTAAATATTCCACTTGGATACTGTCTAAGGTAATACTTAGAAATCAGGCATTAGTCAGGTCTTCAGTGTGCGTGTTCTATTTAGTCAGCTCATAAGCAAATATTCTGACTGGCAAATTTTCACTTGGGTTTATTGCTTTGAACTTATTTCAGTTACTGTCTCCAGTTTATATCTGGACCTTCCCTCTAACCCAATTGTTTTTTTGCAAAATAATAGTAATAAAAAAACGTTTAACAGCTCTGCCACTCCGCTCTTGTTTTGGCTGCTCTGATAAGTGAATGAGCAGCAGTAAAACGTACCATGCACTGGAACAGATTGCCCAGAGAGGTTGTGGAGCTATCTCCTTGCTGAAGATATTCCAGAACTGTCTGGATGCAATTTTGTACCATGTGCTCTAGAATAACAACACTGCTTGAGCAGGGAGGTCGGACCAGGTGACCCACTGTGGTCACTTTCAGTCTGAACCGATCTGTGATACTGCATCATTTGGAGACTTACATGATGCAAATCCATCGATACGATTGTTATCACTTTTAGTCAGAAATTATTTATATAAAAAAAGACATGGAACAAAGAAACAGTTTAGATAATACTCATGTTATTATTTTCCCACACTTGTATTTGCCTCAGGTAAACACAAACTTCATGAAAATAAGAGTAACAAAACACATGCATCAAGGTTCCTTCAGCATCTTTGCTACCAATGCCCATGGAGGTCTGTTTTCATAAATAGAAACAGTAGCTATTAGATTTCATAGTAGCTATGCTAATAGGAATGTGGTGGAATTAATATAGCCTGTAGCTGTCCTTTTGTAGTATTTATTCCACCCTCATCACCGTAGTAGCTAATACCTTCCAGTACTTCATTAAACCATTAATTTTGGTAATGTGTTATTCTTTCCCCTCATCCTTGTCTCAGGGTGTGTGCATGCAACCTTTTGTTTCAGGGGAAGGGATGTGTTAAATGTACTTAGTCTCTTTTTCCATTACTGTTTACTTTTTCCCCAATTGCAAAGCAAGGTTGCATGCCTTGATGCCAAAACAGGGAGATTTATGATAGTGTGTTCTAGTAACTGTGCAGGTTCACTCAGACTGCAACTTAAAGAAGCTTGCCTACAGAAATTTCCCTGTTATTATAATCTGCCATTGTATGTAAGAAATTGAGGTGTGAACCACAGTCTGCCTTTTATCAGTGATGTTTCACGAAGCATTTTCACTCGTAAACTTCTCTTAAGACTGTGCTACGACTCAAATGGATGTTCCAACCCTGCTGCCCCCAGCCTTCACTGATTGTGTGCTTTGTTGATTCCTTGTGTCAGCTCTGGAGATTGTGTCCATAGGATGCTTGGGCTTAGTCTACTTGTTTGACTGCAAATTAGCCATGTGAGGAACAATGATGAATTTTCCATATGGCTGGATAACCAGTGTGACTTGCAGCCTGGCTGCATGAGGGCCGGGGCCCTGAAGCAGGATTGGAGGGGAAGTCCTCTTTTGGTGGCAGCCCGGTTTTGCATTGGCTGAAGTCAGTCACTGTGACCACGGGGTGAGCTGTATTAATTCTAGGTCATTCCCTGCCCTGAAATATGGATTGTGACCTTGGCCTTAACTGCTGGGTGGACAGATGACAGATGTGATGTCTGGGCTGTGTTAGTGGGAGGTGTGCTGTGTATCTAGCTCCTGTTTATCTTATACGCTATTCCAGATAGGCAGAAAGCTTTTAGATCTGTCCCAGTTGCCCCCCTCTTGTTTAAAATGCATGAAGCATTTGACTCCCTATAAGAGGATATGCAACATGAGAGATATTTCTCTGATAATAAACTTAAGGTAAGAGAGGGGAAAGGAGGAATGTTTTAGCCTATATCCTTGGCTACGTTCTCTTGGGCAATTCTAAAGGATTCATTTCTCTCACTGATGTATAACAGCCTTCAAATATTACTGTTGGACACCATTTCTTGTCCATAAAAAGTTCTTTCTCTCCTTATATTTCATTTTTCCTCATAAGCTGGTTTCTCCAGCCTTAAATCTTTCATGTTTATTTGTAATGCCTTCAGTTTATTGTAGCTTGCTTGTAATAAGCCATCCACAAGTGAAAACTGCATTTGTATGTTTTAAAATGCAGAGATCCTTCCTCTGGCACAAGGAAACTTATCAAAGTAAAGCTTATAGTTTGGTCAAGTAAAAGTGAAATGTTATTCTTCTTCTCCATGTAAACACATTGCCCTAAATACCTTTGATAATGCTGAGCATTTACATAATTTCATCATGGAAAGAGATGTGGAGCTGAAAAGATGTTTAAACAAGAAAAAAAAATGCAGAAAAATGTATTTTGTAACTCTTTCTGTAAGAGTGACTCTGTTTAAACCAGATGCTCTCCACAAGGGGAGGCAGAGAGAGAGAGCTAACTTGCAGTCTTGAGACCGTGTGGATATATCTCCTTTCAAATACTGAGTTATTAATAATAAAGATATTGCTAGTAATTGGAGAAGGTACTGTGGTTGCTCCACTGAATGATAAAGTAATGGAATTACAAAAATGTGAGTTCATATGCAGGGTTTTCTGTGATAACTCCCTCAGCAGAGGATGGGAAGAAAGAAATCCAGCTCTAGTAGCTAACTGTCTGTCTTTGAGCAGTTGAGCAGTTTTATTCGGTTTTGACCTCCAGGTGGCAACCACGCCAAGCCTTGTGACTAGCAGTGCAGCTACAACCCTGACTGTCAACCCCGTGCTCCCTCTGGCCAGTCCTGCTGTAACTAGTCTGTCAGTCACAGGTAAGGGCTGATTTCTCCTGACGCTACATCAACCTCTACCATTTTTCCCTTTTTATTCTTAAAAAAATCATTCCGTGTTGGTCACTGGTGTCCCAGGACATTCTTGTCATTGTTCCTTGTTATTCTACTTGGAAACTTTTGTCTTTGTGACCACTGAGCTGACTTTTCTAGGGATAAAATCACAGGTGATGCTGAAACGAAATACTCAGTATTCCATTACTAGCTTCTAAGAACTCCTTGGCCTTCTTCTGGGAAGTGTTCACTTCATTGTAGTCTAAGCTTTTCATTTGAACCCCTGGTGCTTTGTGGTACTACAGAAATGTGTGTTTGTGCCCCTGTCAGTTGGGTGTGCAGCTCTGTTCAGGTGGGCAGGGGTTTCTGTTTAGTCATATCTATGTTTTGTACTCATCTAACCAGAATCAATCTTCCAGGCACAACAGAAACCACCTCCAACAACACAGCAACAGTGATTTCAACAGCACCTCCAGCTTCTTCAGCAGTGACATCACCTTCCCTGAGTCCTTCCCCTTCTGCCTCAGCCTCCACTTCAGAGGCATCCAGTGCCAGTGAGACCAGCACAACACAGACAACCTCCACTCCCTTGTCCTCCCCTCTTGGGACCAGCCAGGTGATGGTAACGGCATCAGGGTTGCAAACAGCGGCGGCAGCTGCGTTACAAGGAGCTGCACAGTTGCCTGCAAATGCAAGTCTTGCTGCCATGGCTGCTGCAGCAGGACTAAACCCAGGCTTGATGGCATCCTCACAGTTTGCAGCTGGGTAAGGATGAATTTTGCACACCTCTTTTTGGTGAGGTGAACAGAAGAGGGAAGAAGGATTCTTGGGATAAGTTGCTGTTACATATCACTGTTTCCTGGTGATCCCAGTGCCATTTATCTCAAATTCTGAAGGTTTACTCACAGGTGGTAATTGACCTTTCCCATCAACATATACAAATGTTGTGTTCACTTTAAAGATGCGTTGCGACAACATTGTTATTTGATAAGTCATTCATCTACTGCAGAACTTAAGAGCTGCAACTTACCTCTGAATCATAGCATCTGTCCAACTAATTGTAAAATGGAGAGAGGGCCTAGACCCACTTCACCCCTCTGTATTCATTTCTCCATCATGAGCAAGAAATTGTAAAAGATGCACGATGATGTGTTGTTGAAGTTGTAGGTTTAAAAATGTTGCTCAGACACATGACTCTTGGTGTCTTTAATTCCTCTTGGTTTACAGATTTCTTATCTGAATTTGGGAGAGGATGATAGCTCTCTAACAAGTGACACTTTCCCCAAAATACTCTACAAAAATATTTTACAGCAACAATCAATACAAGTCATGTATTTGCAGTGCCTGTACTTGTCACTAACCACTCATGGAGGAAAACTAAAATCAACTAAAAATACCCCTTAGTCTCTGGTCTTTCCTTCATCCTCTTTTTTATAATTTTAAATATGATGATGTATTTATGAACAGTGACAAGCTTTTCTTAAAAGTAACACTCTTTCCCTTTTCCCCTTCTTCCATGATTTTGCTTCCTGCAGAGGTGCCTTACTCAGTCTCAATCCAGGGACATTAGGTGGTGCTCTCAGCCCAGCCCTGATGAGCAACAGTACACTGGCAACTATTCAAGGTCAGTAGTGTTTCTATTAATGCATCTCTGTCATACAGCTTCAGTTTACAGGCTTTGTTTTTCTCTCCCAAAGAAGAACACTGACTTCTCAGCACTGGACATAAATTTTATAGGAGTAAAGGTTTTACAAAATTTAAAAGTGCATTCTGCATATCACAGAGATAACAGCAGCTACAACTACAGAAGAGGAATCAGATGTATATGGTCTTAGGGTGATTTACAGGAGGCACTTAAGATAATTATGTGTTCTAGAATTTATTTTGTTCTCCTTCTCTCATTGGCCTGTATCCCTAGCAGGTTAAAGATTTACATTTTATAGCTCTTCTCTAGTTGCTTGAGCAGACTTGTGCTGTTAGGTCTGTTAGGAGGGCAGTTCTCAGCAAGTCTTGATCCTGAATTCTTGTCCTCTTACATATTTAAAGAGAACCTATGGAAAAGATCCTGCCTTCTAAAGTCCTTACACAGAACTTTTTATACATTAATTCTCGTTCAGAAGAGTAAAAATTTATTTTGGGAGTGCCGGATGTGGCCAGAAGTTACTACTGGCTTCAGCAAGAATTATTCTCAGTTCATAGTCTATCATGGTACAAGAGGTCTAGCTAACCTGTCTGCTCAAATATCCCCTAAATTAGCTGAACAAATCTTGTTTCCAGGTTACAAGAAAGAACCATTTCATGAAGCATCAGAGATAAATTTAGGAGATCATAATCTAAGGCAGACTGAATGTTAGGCCGATGAGAGTAAGTTGTAACAGTGGTTGGTTATACATCAACATTCAAAATGTTACACCCAAGGTTACATGACCTTCTTCATATTGTGGTAGCTGTCATTTCACATGAACACTCATCTCAACCCTTTCCAGTGCAAGCTGGTGAATGTACAGGCTCTCTTTGGCAGGAAACATAAACCACTGTTGTGCTTAAAGATCTGAAGAAAGGCACAATGGGATTAGCTTAGGAGCAAACAACAGAGGCATTTTAGTATCTGCAAGGTCTTGTCTGATTGTTATTTAAAAAATAAACAACCTATGGTGAGACAACTGTCGTTAGTGGTGCAGAGAGCAAATCAGAAAAAGTAAAATGCAGAGCCCCCTTGCTTTTAGGCACATTTTGCGTTGTTGCTTACTGATAATGTTATCTCCTCCCTGCTCGATTTTCCCTTTTTTTTAGCTCTTGCATCTGGTGGCTCTCTTCCAATAACATCACTGGATGCAACTGGAAACTTGGTGTTTGCCAATGCTGGAGGTACCCCTAACATTGTAACTGCCCCTCTGTTCCTGAACCCTCAGAACCTTTCTCTGCTCACCAGCAACCCAGTTAGCTTGGTCTCTGCAGCTGCAGCCTCCGCAGGGGCCTCGGGACCAGTCGCCAGCCTTCACGCCACCTCCACCTCAGCCGAGTCCATCCAGAACTCTCTTCTCACAGTGGCCTCTGCGAGCGGGGCCGCATCCACCACCACTACTGCCTCCAAGGCACAGTGAGCCGGGCTGAGCTGTGCTGCCAGCAGCCTGTTTCACTGTGCGGTGGGATTGGCTGCCAGCAGGG